AGCGCAAACATGTTAAAAGTGAAGAAGATATGGGTATATTAAGTGCAATAAGGTTTCTAATGTTTAATAAAAAATGGACTATAGCAGTGCAAAGTTTCAGTCCTAGGACATGGTCACATAGTTTTTCACAATTAACTAGGCTAAGAGGCCCGGATCTCTCAACGTGCTAGCCGTGTAGTATAACGCTCGGTTCAGTGGCTGGAAACTTAAAACTACCTTAGCGATACCTCTAGGCTGTGTTATGCTTACCAATTCTCTTCCTGTTTACACATGTTACTATGCGCCAACCGGCTTAAAGTATGGATTGCGGGGGTTCTTTGCAAATTAATGGCAGAGTAGTGATGCACGATTTCGATATGGTATCAGGTCGTTACCTAGGCTTGTACTGATACTCGTACTCATAACATAGTACTCGACCACATTATAATTTACATTAGCGTCATGTCAGCGTACGGAGTAAAGCGGACTGAAAGGCAAAACTGTCCACGAGGTGGGTCAAACAAACATGTATAACACCAGCAACTTGATCATACATTTGAAACTCACCCACAGGTAATAAAATGCCGGTAAATTCAGTAGGTTTTTACACGAACTTAGGCCAAGTGGCCCGGATCGTGTCACAGGGGTGTGAAGGACAACTAGGCCTGTCACTGATAACAAATTTTGCTAGTCGATTAATTATCTCAGAAATTATTGCGATAAGCGATACTATGTTGTTCTGAGGATCATTTTCATCTAATACATTGTTAATTGATGCAGGCACATCTTTTCAAGATAATAAACTTTTTATTTTAAAGACCATGCTTCGCCGGAAGTTGGGGAGTAAAAAAGCGCTAGCTTGATGCTAGCGAGAGTTAGATCAAGGCTTAGCGGCGTTGTGTGTAAGTTTTTTGCCAAGAATGCAGCTCTCTACTGACCCTTGAGACCTTCCAGAGACTTTATTATAACTGCAGTATGGAGTTCACGGAGGTGCTTCATAAGTTTATTTTATGATTAATGGACCTTCAGCATCGGCGAACACGCTAACCTAGCTGCGCTAGTTTAGTCACTACTAGCGTTGAATGCGAAACCACTACTGTGTCCCGCCATTGTCAATCTGGTTAAGTCCTGCGTATAGTCCTGGTTTAGTCCTGTATTTTGTTTTTTTGGAGTTATTTTCTGTCTGCTCGCTAGGGACCGCTAATGTTCCCGTGACCAACTTTGCTGCTCTCTGACCAGAGAGAGAGGGGGTGAGAGAGTGAAGGGGCGAACAATCAAGCATGCAAATGGAATTTATCGCGGCAGGAAAATTTTGGAGGCTATTTTTAATTTATTTATTGAATATCACAAACAGGTCCTAAAGACGACACGCAGTCACATGGGTTTATTTTGATCCGTGCAAGGGACAAAGTGTGGTGTAGTATAACGCTCTGTCGAGTGGTGGTGCTATTACTAACTTCAGTGAATACCTTGCCTGTCCGTGTTAGTTTCCGTTTCTCTTCCCTTTTACACTCTGGTTACTCTGACAACCGCTCAAGCATGGATCGTGTCTTGGCATCAGAGGTCAATGTGTACACGACCTGGTACTGGGTCGTGATTGCTCTTTTTTTCCAGACAACTATATGAAGATATGACAGGAGGCCATGAAATAGTTGCATGTGAATAACAGTGAGAACAAAACTGTTAGAGATTGAATGGATTCAATACAATTTGTGTGGTTATAGTTAGTACTTAGCACTCCACTTTATATCTCTTTCATTAAATGTTGTTCGTGTACAGCCCTAAATCACAAAGTGGCAGTAGTTATCTCGAAGGACTAAACAAAACAGTTGAATTCGCCAACACTATCAATCATTCAGTTCAACACACATAGGGCCATTGGGTCAATTTGGGGCAGATGACCAATGATCATATGTGTATATAATTGTCATAAATGGTGAGTGTCATGGATCTTCACACTTTTTGTTAGACCCGCAAAGGGTAATAAGAACCTCCTGCATTTGCAGTTAAACCTCTCTAAGACCCTGTGGTAAAGTTGTGAAAACCTCAGGAAGGTCTACATTGAGAGAGGGTCTGCTCCCACTGACGAACGGGCAATAGATCCAGGACTCGGGGACAAAAGATCAAACTGTAAACTATAGAAGTCAAATATTACATAAATTTCAATTTTTATTTAATCACAAACACATTCTATTTTTAGTCTGGAAACAGAACCCTGGGTACAATGCTGGTTGGAAAAGGTAGTGAATTGTTAAATCTTGTGAAAACTCATACGGTGCATTTTATACGGAGGCTCAATCAAAGACTTTGATTTTTTTTGTCAAGAACAACAACACACATCGTGGTGCATTCTATTTATCATCATCAGTCATTTTACGGGACAACATTGGATCTATTTATCATTCAAAGATTGGTTCATTCAAAGATCCTCATGAACTTCTGGAGTGATTTTGCTGCACTGAAAGTAAGGGGCCTGCACTGAAAGTAAAGCTGCATATTAACTTGATATCGGGCCTGTGACCAAAGAATAATTTTGCTTTTTGCGGGTAAAAGCAAACGCCCCACAGCTCTTTTTCAGTATTTGTTATATATATATGTTTATGGATTTTATTACATTAATAAAAAGTCTTTTGAATTGGAAGTCCTCTGATAATCGACAAGACTATTGTTTTACAAAAGTTCTTACATCAATATTTTACGGTGCTGTCGTTAGAAGTGAATTTTGAGTCACTGATTCTGTCGAGGGCGCTAAATAATGGGAGCCACAACTGAAGCAAAACGGTATTTACCGATGGAGCTGATACAAAATACTTTCCAAATATTTCCAGCCATGCATTAAGGAATCATGAAAGTCCCCAGTGTCCCTTTGCGCCTGAGATGTAACATCGTCTTATTATTCAGATTCAATGGTTCCTGTACTATCCAATGCATGGCGGCAGGAGGAGGGGGTTCATTTTCAACTTGACCACTTCTTCTCTTTCATTGCTAGCCTCAGAAGTGTCTCTCTCAGTTACATGGAAAGTCACAAGCAAAGTCTTTTTCTTCTCTCGTTTTAAAAGCAGCACATTCCCTGTGAGCTACACAGGCTTCCAATGCCTAGACAATTTAATTGGATAAAAGGAAAGATAAAGAGACCCTGACTGTGTCCATAAAAATAAATTGATTGCTATGTATTTGTAGTGGCGGGAGCGCTGTTGTTTGGTGAATGGGGGGATGTTGAGTGGCAGAACGCCTCAGTTTTTGCTCCGCTTGCCGTCTTTGTTTTTCACGCCGTGATGTTGAAGCGGCATGAAATGGCAGTGAGGGAGCACACTTGCAGCTCAATTTTGATCTTACATCGTATGAAATCAATAGATTGTGCATGTAAAGAGGGATCGCAATGAACTTTTTGGTGGGAGACCAAACTTTTCACACTATCTGACTAAAGATTACAATTCTGTGGTGCAACCCTTGCAAAGCCCAAAGGCAAAGGCAGCAACTGTTAGTTGCCTATTCAAACTTAATAAAAGATCCACAAAACCCACTAGGGCCATCAAATTAAGTTGTGTTGGAGAGAAAAACTGTCTTTTTTCATGGTTACATCCTATTAGTGTTTGACTATTGGAATGTTTTTAGGGACAATAACACAAAAGGCTATTATAATTGTTTCTGATATTTTCAGGGAACAGTTTGTAACGGCTGCATGTCAAGGAAAAACAAGACAACAAGACCTTATTTCCCATTTAGTGTTGCATAATGAGAATGTTCTTTCTTCTTGGCTTAAAAACACAGCAAAACCAATTGACAGATCGAACATTGATCCCATACAGAATTCTCCTTTAGTGTGGGATATGGAGGAGCAATTGTAAATTTGTTGACAATGACCCTGGGTTGATGAAAGCGCGATATGAATAGAGATATAACATACTAAGAGATGGCCTTCACTGTGCAAAAGGGATGATTCCAACGACATAATTTTTTTTTTCTTAAAAGACGTAGTTTTGTTGTATGTATACTATTCCCAAAAGGCTAAACCGTCCTGACTCAAAGAGCTGAAACTTCTTCACACTTAATTAAAGTAAGGTTACAACATGGTCAAGAGTGAGAGGTGAGTAGCTACAGACTGCAGTTTAACTGGCAGCGAGTACAGCAACAGGCTTTGTGTGTTGTTCATCTCTGGTTGGGTTATTGCTTGTTGTTTCATTTGGGCCCTGAGGCCCTCACAATGCTGCGGCCCTCAGGACGGACAGAAGAATAGCTGTCATCGTGTTTTTCGGTCGAATGCCTCGGCACTCGGCTGCACTAATCTCTTTCCCAGTGTCAGCAGATCCAGAGCAGAGATGTGCGATGAGGAGGTCGGATGCTGGGGCGAACGTGCCTCAAAGCATTAGCACTGGGCTGTCAAGGCCGCAGGGGCTGGTGCCGCGCTGCAGAGGGAGGAGCAGGTTAAGTGTGGAGCATAAGAGGAACACGGCTGTTTTCTGAAACAGGTGAGTGTGTAATTATGTTACAATGTGTGTGTAGGGCTTCTGATGTGTGTGTAATGTGAGTCTGTGTGCGGTCAAAAGTCACTCACAAAATGAAATCTAACAACGTGAGGCCGCAAGCCTCAGCTGGGCTCCCATGCTGCTGTTCTCTGCTAGCCTCAGTGGATCTGTCTGAAACGAGGCCCTGGACCGAGGGGAGGGGCGGGGCCTGGGGGGCGGTCGACTCACGCGACTGCACAGGGAAAAAAATAAAAGAGCTTCCTTTGGCGACTAGAAAGCAGCAGTGGTGGTCGTGCAGCAGCAACATCATCAAATCACAAGGAATGAGTCTGGAAGATGGTGCACAGCAGGAATATGTAACAATTTCTCTGGTGAATAATTGTGTTTGTTAATCTGTTAGACCCAATTCTGACACCACAAGCCGGTTTGTTACAAAGGCAGTGGCAGTGATGAGCGGCTTCTATAGTGTTTATAATCTACAGTAATCTTTAGCTGTCTGTGTTATCCATGTAGGAGGTACTGATACACAGGCTTTGGACCAGGTAACCTTCATACCAGACAGTTGTGTGAGGCTCCTGTCACCGGGTGGTCCATGACCTCCTTCACCACAATAATCCACTGGACAACACAATATAAACACACACAGCACACCACATACAAACACACACAAACTGTATATAAAACACAAACAAAATAAAAACACAGCATGTATTAAACACAAACAGACACACACATATATCAACACATAAATACACACACGCGCGCGCACACACACCACAATCATATATAAAACACACCACACAGGCACTGTGGTTCTCCCCTCTCTATCCACAGAGGGCCGCGGAGCATGTCAGACAATTGTCCACAGGATTTTATCATGTGTCGGTGGTTTCAGAGGCAGTTGTTTTTCCTGTCGCCTCGAAGCAAGACATTTTTTTTCATTCTGTGTATCGCAACAAAGGCAAGGCTGTTAATAATAAATTTTAAAACGTCAATCAAAGCAAATGAAAATGCCAATGTTATTATAGAGAAGGATCAATGGCTTTGTCTTCATATTGTATAGTAATTCTGTATTCAAGCAGGAGACAATTAAAGGTGTCAGGTTATGTGATCTGACCTATTGAAAGAGGGGTGAAGGAGAGTAAGAAAGCAGCGTTTTGCTTGTAGACATCTTCTAAGCTTGTTTAAAAACTCTCGCTCCTTCCAAGTTTCCCAGCAGAGGTCCATATTGTAGTAGTGAGGCTGCTTTTGAAGGGATTTCGCTTGGGAGGACTGGGTACACTCGAATCTTCTAGGCCCCCGTGTGCATTGATCATACAATTGTGATTGTAGAATTTAGCATGTGTGGGATTGATCTGCTTGTTTTGGACTTCTGGGACAATACATAAAGAATATTCGGTATTAGTATTTGATAGCTAATATGCTTAGTGCAGGATACTGTTAACAGGACTCTACAAGGACTACATGTTTGACTATGATTTGACTGTCTCTTTGTGACAAGTTAAGTCTTTTGATGGGTGACGTGACAATGACTTTTAAACTGTTGTACTGCCTTTATTCTGTCTGGGAGAAAGAAACAGAGTAATACCAGTGGAACTTGAGAGATAACTTAAATAAACTTCCAGAGTTTGGCACACCACGTCCGTCTCTGTCTGCTAAATCCTAAACAGATTTGGTGGAGAATGCGCGGGCTCGGTTTGTGCCATTCTCTGGATTGTTTTGAGGGTGTTTTGCTTTGTTTCTTTTCCTCTGCGTGAGAGGATCGGCATGCTGTGTCTGGGTGCGGAGATTCAGCAGGCTGGAAGAGCTGTTCCTGGATGCTTCTTGTCGCTTCTGTCACTTTTGTTTTTAATTGATATTCGACGCGGAAAGAGTTGGCAGAACCTCTCGGATGTCGTGCATGCACCTGTTTGACAATCTTAGGTAAGCAGACACCTTTTTTTATGTAAAGTCTGCATATTGGATATTGCTCAAATTTTGGTCTGTTTTAAGGTATGTCGAACTCTCTAAATTGTGTTCAATTAAGACAGTGAAAGTGTTGCCCATAAGTGAGGTTCCATAAAGTGAAAATTGTTCTAAATTGTATTTGAGAAGAAGTTCTCGGGTGTTAGAGTCCCTTTGAGAAAAGCTTCAGGGTTTTTTTTTTTTTTTTTTTCGAGTCCCTTTGAAAGAAAACGTTTTCGGGGTTAGAGTGTTGTCCCTTTGAGAAAAGAAAATAAGTGAGGATCATAGGATCCATAAAGTGAAAAGTGTTGGTCCCATTAAAAGTGAAATAGGATCCATAAAGTGAAAAGTGTGATGGCCATTAAAGTGAATAAGTGCCTTTGAGAAGATCCATAAAGTGTAAAGGCCATAAGTGAAGGATCCAGAAGTGAAACCATGGTGTAAAATTAAAAGTAATTATAAAAAGGGAAACGTGTTAAGGAGGCCTTTGTTACAAAAGCTTTGAAATTAACCAATTCCAGGCTTGATAAATGACAAAAGTTAAAGAAGCAACAATATTTCAGTGATCACGGTTTAAATTACATACAGAAAAAGGGAGTTTTTGTTTTTGGCGTGAACAGAGTTCACCGGAGAATGCAGAGTTTTATCTAAAGTTGAGCTATGAGAGCTTTCGTGAGTTATTTACATTTTTTGCCGAGTTTTATCTACAGTTAAGCTATGAGAGGGTTGTATCCAACAGTTGTTTTTGTTTTTTAGAAAGAGATTTTGAGTTTAAATTAGTTTGCTACCTCGATAAAATAGAAGCGTAAACGTTAAAGACAAGAGTGCCTTTTGTTACTAGTGTGGAAAGTGATCACTTTAGACTTGGATGACAAAAGTAATAAACTTGAAAGTTATATTCGCTTAACAAAGTAATCTTGAAAGTTTTTTCTTTCTGTTTTTGCATTTTGCTAAAACACTACTTTCTGCTTGTGTGTGTGCGCCGCTCTATCTTGCTGCCGTTGTCAGGGGAAACGGCCCCCACCTTCGCTGCTCTGGCTCTGAATCAGAGCAAAGCTACTGCTTTTAGGATTTTGGCTTTTATTAAGTTTTTAAATTTGCTAAATTTGCAATTGAACATTGTGTTAGACACAGTTAAACGTTTTTAAACACCATTAGTGAATAAGTTTTTGAAATATTATGTTTTTTGAAACCCAAATATTAGTGCTAAAGCTTTGCTTTTCTTTTTAAATCTGCTGCTTATTTGTGAGTCCATTATTGTATCTCTGATATATTTCATAGCTGTTTGTGAGAATTTTTTTATGTGTTTTTATTTTAGTTACAAAAGCCATTTTTCAAACATTTAAATTAGAATCTGTGTTAAAAGTGATTATTGATTATAGACTTCGTCTAAAAAGAAAGAGGGAATTAGGCTGTAAAAGTATTAAATTATTAAGTTAAACTACCCAATTCACATGCAAGTGGCGACTTTTTGTTTTTGTTTTGAATACACGCCTGACCTTGCTCCTGCTGATGCCAGAGCAGAGGAGCCTGGTCTGAAATGTGCAAGATAATTAAACACAGTACAAAAGTACACATATTTTAAAGTTTAAAGGTTTTTTGAGATTTGAGTCTTGTTTTTTTATATTAAGAGTTTCTGGTCTTAAAAATGTCATCATTAGTAAGATAATAAGTAATCTTTTATTTACATAGCGCTTGGGAAAACCCAGAGCGCTCCAAAATTGTTTTGACTTCGGAGAGAAAAACAATCTCATTCGCATACTGATATCTATTGTTTTTTTAAATTGGCCGTCTCAAGGATTGTTTTTCAGGCTCTGCCTCACTGTACGAGAGGTCACTGCTGGACACTGGACAGCGCAACGCCCACCCAGCCACAGGCCACAGAGCTAAGAGCAAAGGGCAACAATGCCACCTCTACGCCCCTCCCCCCACTACAGAAGTAAGTGGTAGTGAGACCGGGGCCATGAAAGTGGAGGTTTCTGGAGGCAGTGATGGGTGGAGCGTCAGGTAGAGACCTAGAGGCAGTTGAAAGTGTGTCCAGTTGGTTTGCATCACCACAGTGTGACCTTTGACACCTACAGGTGGTTCGAGGAGTCTGGAGACACAACCCCAAAATTCACACACACACATACACTCACACATTCACATTTACATATAGATACATGAAAAAGCAGAACATGAGAAAAAAGCATTTTAAAGTTTACTCCAATGTAAACACATATTTTTAATTGTCTATCACTTGAATCTTTAGTTGAATCAGTATTTTTTGAGACCAGAAATGTTCATTTGAATTCTTTATTGTCATGGACATAATTGACCTCTGTCCTGACACTTTTTGATTTGTTGATGTTTGTACTGTGTGAAGTAATTACATTGATTAGGATTAGAATCAAAGTGACCAACCATAGAAAGTAACTATTGCATAACAAGCTGTGTACAGGAACTGTGACACTGCACCATTGACCAGAAGTGCATCGCAAATGACCTGATGTGCTTCAACTGAAAAGACTGTATCTGGAGATCCTGATGTGCATCTGGAGAGACCAAAACCATGGCTTGGACCCTACTGATGACCAAGATGACATCTCTCTATGACCTGACCTGATGACGACTGAGACTCACCCTCAGGGGACCCTGAGGACCTGAGGACCTGAGAGAGAAAACTGGGGAGTGATGTTTATATTTTTGAAATCATACATTGATGAGTGCTAAATGAGAGAGATACTCATGATTCTTTCTTTTGTTTTTGTTTGTCCCTAGCTTCTGGACATCTGATGATCTATTGGACACAGACATTTGCAGAACAAGAACCAGCCAATGAAAACGTCTATTGCCGATGCTATTGCTACAACCAGAAACTGTGACAAATGCAATATACATGTTAAGTATTCAGACATCTGACAGACAAAAACTTTGAAAATGATAAAGTATAAGTATTGTAGTGTTTTAGTAGATGTTAAATAGTAGTAAAAGAGTAGAATTTGACTTCCTTTGTTTTTCATAAAACACATTTCCACATAAGCTTTCAAAAATAGAGAATATTCTTAGCCAGTGCAGCCAAATATCAAATGGTAAAGGGACCATTTCACAAGCATTTACTTTAAAAGTAGATAAAGTTAATTACAGTTAATTTTATGTACAGTTTTATTAGATACTTGCCAAATTCACTTGTGTTCACACATGAGTGAATGTTGACAATGCAAAAGTCCATATGAGTGTAGTCTAGATTAATGCCTAGATTAATGAGATAGATTACAACCAACAGAGATTCAAAAGCATTTAAAAGCATTTTGATGTATTTGTGTATAGCACAAAAACACAATAGTAGATATTTAGATATTGAGAAGTTTCCAGCACAAACACCATTGTAGAATAACTGACCCCAACCCCAAACCTGCTCAAATAGATTAGCTCTTGTAAGGATAGTTCCAATTTGATTAAAGATGTACATTCATCCCAAACTGATAATGAGAGTAAACCACAGAGAGATTTATTAGATTAAAATGTATGTTTAAGAATATGGCTCAATAGAAGTAAATATACAAACATATTTGTAAATAGATTAGAATAGTTTTAAACTATAGTGAATAGTAAAAGTAAAGTACACAGTCTAAGATTAGAATTAGTGATAATAATACAGTGAAATAAGATTGAGTGAAGTGTAAACAATCAGCATTAGAATAAAAGTATAGAGTAAGAAAAGTTAAATTAGCTTCAAATTTGAGACTCAGCTCGTTTTTGTCTGTGTTTTGACTGAATCTGCTGAGTTCTTGTGTGTCCAATAGTGTTTGTTTGTTTTTTATTTTTGATTTGTTTTTTGTTTGTTTATTTACTTTATTTTTGTTTGTTTGTTTTTTCCCAGGATAGAGGATAAAATCCACTGATATTGATTTGATGATTATGAGTTTAATGCATACATTTTCTTTGTTTTTAATAATTTTTTAAAGTTTTTTTAGGATTTTTTTTTTTTTTTTTCTTCTTTTTCCACTTTATTGATTGATCAAATTGAGTGATCACATGTGATTATGTGATCAAAGGGGAGGGTATTAGTATTAGATAGCAATATGGCCTACGTGCAGGACTGTACAAGGACTCTACAAGGACTCCATGTTATGACTATGATTTGACTGTCTCTTTGTGACACGTATGTCTTTCGATGTGTGACGTGACAATGACTATATAAACTGTGTACTGCCTTTATTCTGTCTGAGAGAAAGAAACAGAGTAAACCAGTGGAACTTGAGAAAAACATAAATAAACTTCCAGAGTTTGGCACACCACGATCCGTCTCTGTCTGCTTCATCCCTGACAAGCCTACGTCAGCAGCCGCGGAAGCTGCTATCAAAACATTAGCTTTGTGGTTTAACAGGCGCAGATGACTGCTTAAACTAAACTTTGCACGAAACTTTGACTCTAAAAACCCACATGTGACAAAACGGAACCATCAACATCTCGCCTCAAATTGCATTAAAAGAGACATTTGTGTCTTAATTCGTTCGTATTTTAACTTTTAAAGCAATTCACGGTCCGCCATCTTGCACTGCCTCAGCTCATAAAGAGCTGAGGATTGCATCTCTTCAAGGCAGTGTATCTCGGCGTTACACCTGTATGATGATAGGGGGACGGGACGGGGACGGGGGGGAGACCGGGGTGTACTGTCAGAGGTGGGGGCTGGGGATGTGGGGGCAGGATGGCCAGGGGCAGCCGAAGGCAGTGTCCACTGAGCGCTGTCCACTGAGCTGGAGACGTGTGAAGAGGTGGAGGCGGGAAGGGGGACAGATGGAGAGGGGGGAGAATCAAACCGGTTGAAATATTAGTTACATTCATCCGCCAGGTGCTGGTCTCCATCCGCTGTCCCTCTGGCACCGGCGGTGTTCTTTAGGCCTCTCCAGACGTCACAGGCGTTTCCCTGTGCCAGCTTCTGCTCCAGCTTTTTCCCATAGTCCTTCTTGTCTCTCCTAATCCTCAGCTGGAGCTCGTGCTGGATCCTCTTCTGCTCCTCTTTGTCCCCTGAGATGAAAGACCTTTTCTTGAGGTTCAGGAGGGCTTTAAGCTTAGGGGTCACCCATGGGTGGTTGTTCGAAAAGCACTGTACCTTCCTAGTCGGTAAAGTATAACCACACAGAAGAAAATATAGTCTGTTATACAGTGTGTCAGGCTCTCGATGTTATCACCATGAGAGCTGCAGATCATGTCCCAGTCTGTGATTTTGAAAACAATCTCTCAGCCTCTCCTCAGCCTCTTCACTCCACACTGTAACAGACATCTTCAGCGCTGGATGGTGAGGAGGACCTCACCATGGAAGTGTATTCCAGAGAGAGACATACCAGAGAGTGATCAGAGCGGCCAAGCGGGGGGAGGGGAGGGGGGAGGAGGCGTATGCATCTCGGACATTAGCATACAGTTGGTCCAGAGTCCTATGTACAGTAAGTCCCCATTATGTCACGCGGGGCACGTGACATACTGTTTGAATGTAGGGAGAGTAGCGGAGAGGGAGGCATGATTAAAGTCTCCGCTGATCAGTTTCAGATTTCAGTCTGGATCTGCTATGAATGCGCTCACATGCTGCAGCAGCGTCCGCTGATGGAGGGATGTACACACACAGAACCACGGTGTTCAAAAACTCCCGCGGCAGATATCTGGGGCTCATACTCACAGCAAGCAGCTCTAGGTCCTGCGTGCAGATCCGTTTAATCACATAAACATGAGCCGGGATACACCAGTCCTCATTCACGCATACAGCGACTCCCCCGCCCTTCTACTTTCTGCTCCTCTCCACTCTCCGGTGTGCGCGCACCAGTTTAAATCCCTTCAGAGCGACCACAAAGTCCCGTACATTCCCACACAGCCACGTTTCAGAGAAACACATGAGTCCGCATTGTCTGTATTCCCTCTGATGGCAGGCCAGCGCGGCCAGCTCCTCGGTCTTGTTGGAGATGGACCGTACGTTTCCTATGATGATGGAGGGGAGGTACAGCCTCCTCTTCTTCTTGAGGCCTCCTCTGGAGCCTCTGCGTCTCCTGCTGATCCCCAAGGGGATCACCGGCTTCTCAGAGTGCAGGAAAGTCTCTTAGTCAGAGAAGCTACTCCCGGTTGTAAACAACGGGACATGTTTACATGTCCCATCCAGCGCCAGCCCCCGCTGTGAGTGGGGGGATCCAAAAGTGCCGAAAACATGACTAATCCAGCGAAAAGTCCGACAAGAATAGGCTTCCCGTGTGCACTAACGCACAATGTAACACCTACTTTAACAAAAAATAATAAAACAAAAAAAACACATCTACAAGAAATAAATAGAGAAAGAGTCGGAAGAGGAGAGAGCCGAAGTGACTATAGCTGCACAGCGGGGGCTGGCGCCGGATTCAGATGAATGGAATATGTAACTCAAAAACTAGATGGCACATCTCAAGGGGCATTCCATCAATAAACTAAACTAAACTAAACTGATAAGGTAGTAATAATAAAGTAATATCTAGTGCTATGGCAGAGTCCCGAATGTTTAAAAGAAACTCTAGGCAGCGCAGAGACGAATAGAGTAGGCTGCTGGAAACAGGGCTTTTGATTTCTGTGATTAATGGTGCAGCCACCCACCCCTCTCATAACCCGCCCCCTTCCTCCACCCTTCACCTGTATGGCCGTCTCCTTGTCGTCCTTGTGGTAGGTCAGCGTGCTTCCCCTGAGCACAAAATACCTCTGCTGCCAATTCTTCACCAGAGATCGCTGTTGCTTCTTGAGCCAGCCCGCCTTCAGGGGCCTCTCCATGGGGGGCGTGGGAGAGCCGGGAGAGGCCGCGGTGCCTGCTGTAGCGTCTCCCGGGAGCACACTTCGGGAGCGAGCTGAGGGAGGTATAGCGAGAGGCAGAATAATGAGTGTTGTGTGTGTGTGAGAGGCAACAAGTGCAGCTCTGTTTCCTGTTTGAGGCATCAGAGCGTGCACATGACGAGTGATAAAGAAGCTCAAACCTCAGTTTAATTGAACTGTATGTTAATGTTTTTAGTAACTTGCACTTTTATTTAAGCTGTATGTTAATATGTATTTTAGTAACTTGCATTCTTATTGAACTGAATGCATTCAAACTTCAACTCACATTTATAAACCTGTTCCAAGAGCAGCCAGTGAACACATACAAAGTCCTCATTCTGAACCAGAATGACCTCGTCAAAAGTCAGGGATCAAGTCCAGAGAACCTGTAGGAACCTTCGTGATCTTGAGGTCTCAGTGAGTTTGGTGTCATTAGTTGTCTTTCATTTGTGTTCTTTTCATGTGTATACTCAACATATAACCACTTATTCACAGACCAGAGAGAGAAGATTTTTGTGTCTCTTTGGTCTCTCTCTCTCTGATCTCTCTCTTATCTCGCTCTCTGGTCTCTTTCTAGTCTCTCTCCCTCTGGTCTCTCTTGTCTCTCTCGGGGCTCTCTCTCTGGTGTCTTTTTCCAGTCTCTCTCTCTGGTCTCTCGCTCTGATCTCTCTGTCTGGTCTCCATTTCCATCACTTGTGTTCACATGCGAATGTAGTGGGGCTTGGGTGTGTCCTGTAGCTCCACCCCTCACTCCACCCCTCACTCCACCCAATTGTTAGCTGCCCCTTATAAGCACCTGGGTAAGGTGTAGGGCAGCCACTTTGTGCTGCTGCTTGAGTCTGCTGCTGTGAGGTAGGATGGTTTGCATTGGTGGTGGCAATATGAAGCCCCATGAAGCATTGAGCGTTTGCAGCCTATTACTCGGCCCATGGTTCGAAGGCTCGAGGTGAATAATGCTCCTCTACGCCATCATGTGGACAAAAAATATATAACACTCTTAAGTGCTTACAATGAATGGTGGGGTCTAATATTAAAATTGATATTTACAGTCTATGGTCTAAACATGTTGTGTTTGAACTGTGAACCATTTGAGGCTTTCAGTCATTTGTGTTAACAAACATGCTGCATCCAAAGCAATAGTTTTACAAAAAGTGTTTAATTGAGGAAAAGCTACCATGAGGTGGATTAATTAAACACAACAAACCATTTTTAAATCTATTTACTTTGCAAATAAAAAAAGGATTTTGAGTTAAGCGGGATTCAGTCCAGCTACTACCGACTGCGCCACGCAACTGTTACATCATTTGTGATCCAAACTTTTAAAAAGTAAAACATTGTGACATTAAGGCAAACCTGGATATATGAAATTGAGGTATTACTAAAGTGAAACGTTTTTAATTGTATTTCATATGAAGTAGATTTGCTATACTTAAGCACAGGACTGCTCCACATCACGCACACACGTACGCACACAGAGACAGACAGGTCACAAAGTACCTGTCAAAGTGATGCACTCTCCGAACTATATGAAGCACCTCAGTAAACCGTCACTTAGTGCAACGCGAGGCTTTGAACGTCACCACATACGTCACCAACACGTATATGGTGACGTTTAAAAAAAAAAAACTCCCCCTGATTACTCGGTACACGCTTTGAAGACTCGACACGCTCAGCACATCACTAGTTTGCATTGTGAAAAATTATTCTTAAAGCCTATCAGTTGAGTAATCTTATTTAAAATTCTTGACGATGGCAATGTTTTATGTTTCAATTTTAATGAGCATAGTAAACCTTGTGTGCTCCATACAGGCTAACCTGCTGCTGTTTTTGCTGTTATTTTATTTGTATTACTGCTGTTTTGCTTTGGTTGCTGTTTTTTGTGCTATTTGCTTTTGCTTTAGTTTCTTTGCTTATACTTTAGCTTTTATTTTGGTTCTTTTGTTATATTACTGCTTTTTATTTAATTTCTTTGTTAATCTGTAGTTTCTTTCATTAGTCTAGTTTAATCAGTTACATCTTTGATTTACATTTATTTTTGCTGCAACAGGTTGTCAAAGCCAACTGGGTCCATTTTTTAAACATTATTACTTTTTCTTTTAGCGACGCTGAGCCCCCCCTGGTGGCTGGGCTGGGCACATTGGTGTGGTTCCCCCACCTTTGAATGTGATTTAGTGCACTTGGTTCACGAGTTAGCACATTTCATTTGCTGTGTCCACTGAGGTGAGTATTCTGAGTAGCACCCCTGGGCACCTCCCAGAGTAGCATGCTCAGCTTCACTATTTTTAATACCTTTTAATAAATGTTATTACTTTTAGTTTAATTTGTTAAATAAATTAACCTTTTCTAAAAAAAAAAAAATTCTTATTTTTACTTTTTTTAGTAGGATCTTTTTATCAATAAACATTTTGAACTTTTATGCACGTCTCTGGCATATTTAAATCAGATACTCACCTGTGTTCCTTTATATTGTGACCCTTGGGTTTTTAAAATCAACCACACCCTCGGTATTCCACACATATATTATTGGACATACAGTCCGGGACCAAAAGTTTGGACACACCTTCTCATTCAAAGAGTTTTTTTTATTTTCATGACTATCAAAATTGTAGATTCAATTTTCCAGCCCCAAAACCATCTGGATTGGGTTCAGGTCCGGTCACCCATCACTCTCCTTATTGGTCAAACAGCCCTTACACAGCCTGGGTGTGAATCTACAGTCAATAGTAATGAAAAGAAAGGAAACTCATTGAATGAGAGAGTGTGTCTGTGGTGTATCTTGAAATCAACTTTTTCCCAGAAAAGTAAAAGAAAAAGAAACGGGAACACCCTCACTCAGCCAATTAGCTCTTGCCTCAAAGTATCAAATGACTTACAGGGCTCAGTATCACAAGTTCATAAATTTTTTTCTAATATGAGGAAGACGGCATGACGCCAAATCTAACCCACAATAACGCTCTCTGCCAGTCCACCACAGAGAAGGGCCCAGGAGAGAAGTGTACGTGTCCCAGAGAAGGACCCTCTCCCTGGGACGTCCTGAGTGGCACGCATTCTACTCCACAGATTACATCTCTGTGCTCCAATCGTCACTTTTCAGACACGAGCAGTAAACAGGAAGAGCAGGCATCTACGGCCACACACACACACACACTAAGTGTGCCCCAGGGCACATGCATACTTGTATACAAGTTGTATAGATATATGTCGAGATAAATTCAGTGGTGGTTTCTTACCTTTTCCCACAGGGTTTTAGATTTTTCCCTTGCTTATATAAAGGTCTGTTAGACTGTCAGAGGGTCCAACTAAAAGGACTGTGGTGATGAGGCAGGACATTCAACATTCAACATGGACATTTATCTGCCTCTTACAGACCAATACCACTGTTTCTATTGTTGCATTTCTTGTGTTTGAATTGTTTGGTTCTCTTATCTGTGTTAGCTAAGGCAACGGTTATGGTAAGTATTCTGAGATAACTACTATTGTGATTTAGGGTGAAAGAAGAATACATTGTATCAAATTGAATTACAGTTTTGCATATTGCGCATGATTGCAATATTTACTATTTACAGATGAGATGACGCCATCAAAAACAAATCAGTGTATATATATGATATCAACAGCTTTATGAGCTTTACAGCAATAGTATGTATACCAGTAGAGCATGACTATTAGTGGAGCTGCAGTTGGCTCGATGAGAGACCAGAGAGAGACCATAGAGAGGGAGACCAGAGAGGGACGAGAGAGACATCAGAGAAAGAGAACAGAGAGAAACAGAACGAGAGAGAGAGGTATATAGTATACCAGAGAGAAATAGAGATCAAAGAAAGACAACAGAGAGAGAGAGAGATACCAGAGAGAAATAGAGAACAAAGAAAGACAACAGAGAGAGATTTCAGAGGGAGGAGAGTCCAGAGAGAGAACAGACAGAGACCAGAGAGATACACCAAAATTAGAACAGAAATACCAGAGAGAGAGAGAGAGACCCTGTCCGGAGATGAAATCAAATCCAGGACCTTTTTTACAGTAAACTTTAAGTGTGAACTACTGCAATAAAGGCTTCAAACAGTGGAGTTCAACAACTTTTTTGATGACATCACACACATATGGGCCAGTTCAGGGAAGCGGCGACAGTCATACGTGGAAAATAATTTGACATTTTTAAACAACAAAAAACAGGAAGGAGCTGCAACACGTCTGGGCTAATTCTACACAGACCTCATGCATTTATTCTCAGAGCGGGCAAAAAACAGAAATCCTATTGTCTGTGATTAATTTTGACAGATGATAAGTAATTTAATTCACTACATGAACAACATGTAGTGAAATGACTAAGAAGCTATTTCCTCTGGTTCAGTTTTATAGCAGTCGACAAAATGGATCATAACAAGACGTTATTTCCTGAATTAAGAAAAATACCCGATATTCAAACAAAACTTTTCTAGTTAGTGCAAGATATTTGAAGTGATGTCACCAATATTTGAAATTACTGTTCTAATAGTTTGGCTTTGGTCACAGTCAACCGCGGAAGCTAGGACTAACAATAGTACCAAAATAATATCTGCATGGTTTGTTTTGGCTTTGATTTCAGCCTCTGCTACCTTCACAGTTAGATTTAGAATATAAAGCTGGTGTATCTAACCATAGGCCTGTTTTCACCAGCCCTACCCTAGTCTACTCTACATGTTTGCATGTTCTTCCTGTGTTTTTGTAGGTTTTCTCCAGGGGCTCCAGTTTCCCCTACCACTACAAACATGTACAGAAGGTGAGGGTTGAATAAGTGTGTTTGTGAGTGCGACTGCAAGACTACAGATGGAAATTAGCAACAAAAAGATACAATATGGTGTATTTACATTCACTGATGTTCATGAATGTACACTTTCCCATCCAAATAAACACACAAATACCAATACTTTAGTATCTGCTAGTGTATCCTAGCCACCTGCCAATCACTGCCAGAACACTTTTGTACCAGCTCGGCCTGGATAGAACTAGGACCAAGAGGACTAAAGAATAACCTGGTACTAAAGAAACATGGTCGGTAGAAATGGTCCCAATTGGGGGAGGGTAGAGTAGAGTGGAGAAGAGAGTAAAGAGTAGAGTAGAGTAGGAGGAGAGGAGGAGAGTAGGGTAGGGTAGGCTAGAGTTGGCGCAAACAGGGCTTTTCAAACCACACAAATGTTACTATATAATCAGATCTATTGCCACTACTTCCTTGCTCGCTTGCATGTGTTTCTTTGGGCCTCTGTCACTCCTTTAGTACACCTTTTTCAGACAGAAAAGTGCAAAACAGAGGATCACCTTCACTCAGTCAATCAGCTCTCAGCCTAAAACATCAAATAGTGACTTGCATGGCTTCTTACTAGTATGCAAAGGATGAAATGTTTGCCAATGAGATGAAGACAGGTTTGAAGGTGCAGTAAATCCTCATGTTTGTACTGTGATATCAAAGTGTGGTACTCACCAATCCGCGACGTCTCTTTGAACGTGGTGAAGTCCCAGTTTCTCGGCAGTTTTAGAGACATGCTCCCACTCTTTCACTTCAAGGGTCAAACAGTCAAACCAGGCTCCATCCACACGCACAACTCAAACGCACAAGTCACACGCACAGCAGCACAGCTCACCGGCCACGAACAAGTGCAAACAACAACTTCCTACTTCCTGCATTTGCTGTAATTTCTTCTTTTTCTGCACATTATAATAAACTCTGCTCGGCTTCAGCAAAGAGTCATCCATGCGGTCAATGGGGTGCAAAAGTGAATACTAGGTGTATCAGCACTGGTATGCATATACATCTGTACACACAGACACAATGGCACAAACAGAGAGAGTAAGAAGAACGAAGAGAAGAGAGAGAGACAGAGACACAAACAGAGAGAGTAAGAAGAACGAAGAGAGAGAGAAAGAGACAGAGAGAGAGAGAGAGAGAGAGACACACACACAGGAGAGAGATAGAAAGAGAAGAGAAGGAAAGAGAAAGAAAATTGAAGATAAGAGACACAGAGAGAGACCAACAGAGAAGAGATGGAGAGAGAGAAAGAGAAAGAAGAGCAAAGAGAAGAGAGAGACAGACACAGTCCCCCCGGCAGCGGCCTGAAAAGCAGGTCGCTTGTTTTTGTTTTGACCATAGACAAATAAACAGTGTTGGGCATATTAATAAAAAAAAGAGTGATACATTGTGTGTATGTATTTGTTACTGTTAATTCAACGTTACAGGTACAATATTAGTCTCTGAATTGAAAAGCATACACTACTACTGCATTACTTTTATGTTACTTTCACAGGCTGAGGAAGTAGAGCCGCTGCTTCTTCACGTCGAGAGGAACCAGTTGAGGTGGTTCAGGCATCTGTTCTGGAGGCCTCCTGGACGCATCCTGTTCGGGATATATACCACTGGGAGGAGACCCCGAGGGAAGACCCAGGACACGCTGAAGGGACTGCTTAGACTGCTGCCCCCTGACCCGGCAACGGATGAAGCAGAAGAAAATGGATGGATGGATGGTTATACCTACTAAATGTAGCTTATGATGCTACTGCATGAGGTTGATAGAGCTTTTGGTTTGGCACATAAAGTGCACTTAACTGTTATGTTCCACATCTTAGTCTCCAACAAACTCAAAATAATGGGAGTCTGTCATTCTTGAAAATGTATTCTCTGACATAGTGACTGCCTCTGCTTCAGCTTCAGTCATCTACCGAGTAAAAAATCACCCAGTTTCTTTTTTTGAATGCCTCACTTTACTACGTTACAGCAAAAAGCAACACATTACAGTAATTATATTAGAAAGCAACACTTCAAACCAGATGCAGAAGTTTAGACAAAAAGAGGAAAGACACAGTGTGCAGACAACCCTGTGGTCACATGTCGGAAAAAATAGAGAGAGACACACACACAGAACTCTCCTCACAGTCGAAAGCAGGGGCCCCCAACTGGCGGACCGGGGTCCAGGCCTGGACCTCAAGAGCATTTTTTCTGGACCTCCATGATTTTTTTTGTTTAAAAGTACATAAGTAAAATTGTAAGTATTTGTACATTTTTCATCAAAAACGCTTTTGGGAGTTCAAAAATGTTGCGAGCACATAAATCAAGCCGGGAAAACCACCGTAACCATGACAATGGTTAGCATGGATGGCAACTGTTACCAGTACAGTTGCCATCCATGGTAACAGTTGTTAGGGTTGACATGGTAATTACTATGGCAACCATAGCTATGCAATAGTCACCATGGCAACCATCACCATGGCAACCATCACAATGGGAACAATCACCATTGCAACTGTTACCATAACAATGGCCAGACAATCTGGTGAATCTTGTTTTAATGCAAACTTCTTTTTTGGGTGCTTGTTTCTAGTTGCCTATGTAATGATTGCCAGGATAGTTGCAATAGGGATTTCTATAGCATCGGTTGCTATGGTAACAGTTGTTATGGCAATGGTCACCATAGCAACCGCTTATGTTGCAACCATTACCATAGCAACCGTTGCTAGAGCAATGGTCAATACGTCAACCGTTGCTATGGAAATGGTCACCATTCCAACCGTTGCTATGGCAACCTTTACCATAGCAACCAAAACAATAGTAACCAGTGGCGCGGCTGCAGAGTGCCAAACTGCCGTTGTGTCCTTAAGCAAGACACTTTACCCCCATTTCCTAGAATGAGTCTGGTGTGTGTGTGAATGGTTGGTGGTGGTCGGAGGGGCCGATGGCACATACTGGTGGCCTCGCTTCTGTCAGTGTGCCCCAGGGCAGCTGTGGCTACAGTAGTAGTTTATCACCACCGTGTATGGAGTGAAAGAATAATGACATGTGAAGCTATACAAAACTGGTGCATTATTATTATTATTATTAACCAGAGAAATGGTCACCATGGCAACCGTTGCTATAACAACCAAATACTTCAGTATCCAGTGAGTGTGTTTTGACTGATTGTCTCTGCGCTCTCTTTCTGTATGCACTATCTTTGATAATCCACGTATTAGTCTACAACAAACTAACTGTGTAAACACTTTATCGGCTTTATTGTAGCTAAGATTTGGGTGCCGGTTTTTTGTCCGGTCTCTGTTTCTGCTCGTATGGGGACCTGCGTCCCCCTGGAATCCAGGGTTAGTGAGTTAGAGCTGTGTCTCCGAGCACTCAAGTCTCGAGCTAACACTATAGCATTAGCTATAGCCAGGCCGTATCCTCACGGACAGCAGAGCGCAGCTTTGATAGACAAAGACAGAGGAGAACTAGTGAGCCTAGCCTCCCAGCCTGTCCCCTGCAGCCGGGACAAGACCAGGATTTAACCTGTTGTTGATAGTTTCCCCACTAGGCCTTCTCCTGTCAGCATTTACAATCGCTGGGACGCTCTGTCCGGCTGCGACTCCCGGTTGGGCGGGTAGGAAGGCCCCACTGAGAGAGCCGCTGAGAGAACTACTGAGAGAGCCGATGGAGTCGCTGATGTGCTGGTAATTGGCTCCTCTATTGTTAGAGGCGTTAAGATCTAAGGAGCCACTGCTTCCCTGGGGCCAGGCTTGGTGATATTTTCAGGGTATCTGAGGCTCCTGATGACCCACAAGCAGCGTTTTCGCCGAATCGTTATTCACGCAGGTGGCAATGACGTTCGGCGGAAACAGTCCGAGGTGTTGAAGCTGCAAGTCGCCGCCGTGTGCAATCTGGCTAGCACAATGGCCGACACTGTCATCTTCTCTGGGCCCCTACCTAGCACTGGCAGTGCAGAAGCATTCAGCAGACACTCGGCTTTCAACCGCTGGCTGTCTGGCTGGTGCCCTCGACATGTTGTCTATGTTGACAATTGGAGTGCCTTTTGGGGAATCACCGGTCTCATCCGCTCGGATGCTATCCACCCAACGATGGCGGGTACATCGCTTTTGGCTAAGACTCTGGCCCTGGCTCTAAATTCTTCTGGTCGGCTCAAGTAACGGTCCAGAAAAAAGGCCCGGATAGAGAGCTGCTCTGCCACAACCTCTGAGCCCCCATCTGTTCAGTTATTAGCCTCAGAACCTAGTCAGATTAAAACCTCGCTTGAAGTCTAAAGTTCTATATGCGAGGAAATCTGACCTGGGTGTCAGACACACTAACCTAATAAAAGTTCAGATAGACAGAAATAGTTCTAAAAGTAGGGTTATTAAATGCGGATTAATGAATATCAGATCAATCTTGTCTAAATCAAATAAACAAACTTATTAAAGACAACAACTTGGATTTACTTGCACTCTCGGAGACTTGGCTCCAACAAGATGGCTATGTCAGATTGAATAAGTGCACTCCTCCGACGCATGTTAACTACCAGAAAGCGAGAACTACAGGTCGCGGGGGCGGTGTTGCTATCACATTGCACATCAATTTACTTCTCAGTCCTAGAACCAACAATGCCTTTCGTTCTTTGAAAACTTAACACTTTCAATCACCTGTCCTGGATGGAGAATACAAAAAGAATTCCCAACAGAATTCTCTGATTTAATTTCAAACCTAGTTCAAACCTAGTTTTGGAATGGGAAAACATAGTTATTACTGGAGACTTCAATATTCATGTGGACGACAGCACCAACAGCTTAAACAAAGCTTTCAGCGCCGTATAGATGGTGTTGGTTTTACTCAGAATGTTGAGGAACCTACTCACATTCATAACCACACTTTGGACCTTGTTCTGACCTACGGTTGTGATGTCTCTAATGTCTGTCTGATCGTTTCTTGATCACGTTTGATCTCGCTTTGGAGGACATTCCTGCGCCGCAAGATAAAACCATAATGAAAAGAACCTTGAATGATATATCTATCACAAGGTTCAAAGAACTTGTACAGCCGATGCTGAATACCGCTGCAGGTGAACCTGCTCACAGCTGCTGCAGTCATTCTGTCATCGACCGAACTGTTGACTACAATATGGAGTCTTTAAAATCTGCATTAAATGCAGCAGCTGCTTTAAAACAGAAAACTATTAGGATTAGATCATCGTCGCCATGGTACAGTGTCCAACTGCATACTTTAAAACAGGACGTCAGAAAACTGGAGAGGCTATATCGCCACTCCCACTCAGAGCCTGTCTACAGAGAGTGGAAAGCAGGTCTCCGAAACTACAAGAATGCCCTTCGCAGGGCTTAAGTCGACAAGCTGCGGTACTGTTTAAAACGGCCGAGTGTGTCCAACTGAGTGTCAAAATTCATTCATACTCCCTGCCACTAGTTGGCAGACATGTCAGACTACCTCCCTGGCCCCAAAAAACTTCATGCTCCCATAGAAAATATTTGCGCAAGACCGCATTGAACCAGTTGGGAAATCATAGTGAAGCGAATGCAGCTGCAGGGCAGCCTACGAGTGTTATACCGCACCAAACACTAACTTTAGACACTTTGCACAGAGTCAGCAGTGGGAACAGTGTTTCTTAGAGTAAGGCCAAGTCATTGGGAGGTTCGGAGACAGGTTAGATTTGCGGAAAACAAGCCTGGAACTCTCGTCGGGGTGCCGCGCCGCGACCTCTCGGCCTCCGCTGAAGTTTCCGCCAAAGTCTCCGCTAAAAGTGCTTCCCACATATTTATTTTCAAGCCTCCCGTAATCACCGGGACAGTGACGTGTTGGAGAAGCCTTGTCTTGTGTGTGTTAGACGAGAGAGAGATCAGGGGAGATGAGTGAGAGAGTGGGGGAGACATCTGCAGCAGGAGAGTCGCGGTGACGCGCTTCACCTGGAGGCGCGCGTCTGGGCAGACTGCTCACTGCAGCACCATGATTTGTAATTTTTACTATTTTCATGAACATTTACAATGTTCCTGTGTGTGTTCTGTGTGTGTTCATGTCCTAGTGATCAATATATGTCTGTCAGAAAAATACAAATATTGTATGAAGATTCTAATATCCACTGTTTCTAACGCCAAATGACGTCATGATATGCAAATTAGATGGGTGGATTTATTCTCTACATAAACTTTGGACCATCCTTAATATTTTTCTAATTTACAGAAAGCCTTTATCTCTTATCACTTCTAAGTTATAGCCTTTTGAAATTAAGATGTCAAAATGGAGCGTTTTGGAAAAAAACCTCTGGCGCTTAAAGGGTTAATAGAAGCGAATAAAAACAACAGTAGATTTTTGTTTAGCACCGTCGCTAAGCTCACAAACTCCCATAGCGCAATCGAGCCTAAAATACCAAGCTCACTAAGCAGTGTCGATTTTCCTCACTTCTTCAATGATAAAATTTTAGATGCAATCCCGGCTTGGCTCTTTAAAGACACACTTCCTTTGAAGGAAGGAGGAATAATAAACGCATATATACAATGTGGCTACAGTGCCTTGCGAAAGTATTCGCCCCCCTTGAACCTTTCAACATTTCGCCACATTTCAGGCTTCAAACATAAAGATATAAAAATGTAATTTTTTGTCAAGAATCAACAACAAGTGGGACACAATCGTGAAGTGGAACAACATTTATTGGATAATTTAAACTTTTTTAACAAATAAAAAACTGAAAAATGGGGCGTGCAATATTATTCGGCCCCCTTGAGCTAGTACTTTGTAGCGCCACCTTTTGCTGCAATTACAGCTGCAAGTCGCTTGGGGTATGTCTCTATCAGTTTTGCACATCGAGAGACTGGAATTCTTGCCCATTCTTCCTTGCAAAACAGCTCGAGCTCAGTGAGGTTGGATGGAGAGCGTTTGTGAACAGCAGTCTTCAGCTCTTTCCACAGATTCTCGATTGGATTCAGGTCTGGACTTTGACTTGGCCATTCTAACACCTGGATACGTCTATTTGTGAACCATTCCATTGTAGATTTGGCTTTATGTTTTGGATCATTGTCCTGTTGGAAGATAAATCTCCGTCCCGGTCTCAGGTCTTTTGCAGACTCCAACAGGTTTTCTTCCAGAATTGTCCTGTATTGGGCTCCATCCATCTTCCCATCAATTTTAGCCATCTTCCCTGTCCCTGCTGAAGAAAAGCAAGCCCAAACCATGATGCTGCCACCACCATGTTTGGTGTGTCTCCCAGGTGGCTTGTGGCAAACTTTAAACGAGACTTTTTATGGATATCTTTGAGAAATGGCTTTCTTCTTGCCACTCTTCCATAAAGGCCAGATTTGTGCAGTGCACGACTGATTGTTGTCCTATGGACAGACTCTCCCACCTCAGCTGTAGTTATCTGCAGTTCATCCAGAGTGATCATGGGCCTCTTGGCTGCATCTCTGATCAGTCTTCTTCTTGTTTGAGATGAAAGTTTGGAGGGACGGCCGGGTCTTGGTAGATTTGCAGTGGTCTGATACTCCTTCCATTTCAATATAATTGCTTGCACAGTGCTCCTTGAGATGTTTAAAGCTTGGGAAATCTTTTTGTATCCAAATCCGGCTTTAAACTTTTCCACAACAGTATCTCGGACCTGCCTGGTGTGTTCCTTTGTCTTCATGGTTCTCTCTGTGCTTTAAACAGAACCCTGAGACTATCAAAGAGCAGGTGCATTTACACACGGAGATCTTGATTACACACAGGTGCATTCTGAAAGTAAGGGGGGCCGAATAATATTGCACGCCCCACTTTTCTAGCATGAAGGCTAACTTCGCCCGTTGGGCGCTAGGTTCGAGGCTACGCTCGAACAAACCCCTGCACTAAGACCTCTCTCCCTATAAAGCTGTTTTTTACTGTTAAAACTAGTGCCACTCTGTTTATCCAAAACTATATTCGGTTGCCAAACCTCATGTTTACTGCCTAAACTACCGCTAAAACTGCTGCTTTTCGGCAAGCTACAAGCTAGCTTCAACCTCTGTTTTTGCTTACGGCTAAACTTCGGCCCCGGTGCGCGAAAAGCCTGCGCGCCGCCGCGTCTGCTATTGTATACTATTCTGCCTGGGCATTGCTTACCGTTGCCTACAATAACATACATTCTGTTCTTTGAGTATTATGTCTCATCTGATTCCGTGTTTCGAGATCAAAGGGTGCTAGCCGTCTCGGGATACTGCTAACGAGCCGCACCTCTTTTTTTGTTAAACAGTGATCTGCTTTCCGGTCCCGAGAGCGGTGCACCACTTCCGGGACACGTGCTGCTGTCTTGACATTTTTATCTGCACCACGTCTTATGGATCAAGTGTTTGGCGTGGTTGTAACATTACACTGTTTGGCTGTTATCCCGTGCTGTTTCTGTTCCAACTAATAACCACTCTACTTTGCCAAAACTTGATGTTTGATGTACTAAAACTGAAAATAATAATTTGATTCTGTTACTACACGTTATGACTAACACACTACTGTGGTAACACGTCCTAATTTCTGTACTTCTGCTCCGGCAATAATGCACGTTATGGTTGAACCACATCGGTGTGTGATTTCTTTCAGATTACTGCATCCCGCCTCCTTGTACTAAAATAATTACGCTAGTTGCCCCTCCTATGCATGTCACGGCTAGACCGCACTGCTGCCCATGGTTGTAACATTAACCTGTTTGCTATCATTCCATGCTGTTTTTGTTTGCTCCTAATAACCACGCTACTCTGCAAACTCGATGTTTGGATTGTAGTAAACTAATACGCTATTCTGACCCTCCTACTGCATGTCACGGCTAGATCGCATGCTGCCCATGGTTTAACATTAACATGTTTGGTAATCATTCCTGTTGTATGTTTGCTCAAATATGACCACTATACTTGCAAACTCGATGTTTGATTGTAGCTAAACTAATCGCTAATTCCGCCCTCTGTGCATGTAATTGGCGCTACCAATTGCTGCGTTTGGTGAATATAATTTGATTCTGCCTCTGTTATCTGCACGTTATGAATAACACATTACTGTGGTGACTAACCCATGCATTTGCTCCTGCCTTAATACACATTATGGTCTGAAACCTCGGTTGTGTGATTTGACAAATACTGCATCCCCACCTCTGGTCAAAAACCTAATATCTATTTCTAAACGCCACGCACGTGCTGCGTCACTAAAACTGCATTGCCTTACCGCTCAGCTGCTGCTTTTGCTACAGCTTAATGAGCAGTGCCTCTACTACGCGCGCCCTCATCGCTGCGTCCCCACGTGCGTCCCCCCCGCTGCGTCCCCCACGCTGCGTCCCCTCCACGCTGCGTCCCCCACGCTGGTCTACTACGCCGCGCCTCACGCTGGTCTCTACGCCGCGCCATCACGCTGCGTCTCCTACGCTGGTCTAATACGCCGCACCCTCACGTTGCGTATCCTAAGTTGCGTTACTACGACGCGCCACACGCTGCGTCCCTTAGCTGCGTCTACTTACGCGCGTCCCCACGCTGCGTCTCAAGTCGCCGCTGCGTCCTAACGCGCCAGTAGCGCCTCACGCTGCGTCTCCTACGCTGCGTCTTACTACGCTGCGTCTACTACGCCGCGCCCTCACGCTTGCTGTTCCTACGCTGCGTCTACTACGCCGGCCCTCACGGCTGCGTCCCCTACGCCGCGCCTCACGCTGCGTCCTACGCTGGTATACTACGCCGTGTTCACCCCCACGCTGCGTTCCCTCAAGACGACGCTGCGTCCCTATGCGCAGTTGCGCCACCGCGCTGCGTTCCCATGTTGCCGCGCCCACGCTGGTACTCAAGACGCCGCTGCGTCTCAAGGCGCTGCGTCCCTAACGCTCGCGTTGCGCCTCACGCCGTGGTCCCAAAGTACGACGCGCCCCACACTTGTGTTCAAAAACCAACGCTGCGCCGCAAAGTACGCGCGCCCCTCGCCGCATCCTCAAACGACGCTGCGTTCAAACCAACGCTGCGCCCTCAAGCACGCCGCGCCCCACGCTGCGTCTAACGCCGCAGGTGCGTCTCAAACGCCGCAGGTTGCGTCGATAACGGCGCCGTCCTTACGCCGGCCCCACCGACTGGCGCATTAACGCGCGCCCTAATACTGGCTGCTACGTGGTGACTATACCCCTACGTGCGCCACACGCCACTAAACCCCAACGCTTTGCTGATACACAGGTGAAGAAATACTAACGCCCGACCCTGTCCTAGGCGCTACTCGCATAACCGCCACACGAGAGGACGCTGTAGTCACGGCTTTGACACACACCAAGGTTTGCACCTCCACACAAATAACAGCTGTTCCACCGCTCTATAGTATGCTTTCCTCCTTTCATCTCCCATGTGTCATGCACACACGTTCCAAAATCATACGGGCATTACACTCACCACACAAATTTGGAAACGTGGCGGAAACTCGCTCGGGACGAGCGGAACACGACAGTGTCGTGGAGGACAGGACATAGTGGATAACTTCTGCGGGGGGGGGGGCGGGGGGGGAGGCGACTTCACAGAGAAGTTATCCCCAGGGTCTACGACATGCTGTGAGCACGGCTCACCTCCGACTTACTGGAGGCCACTTCACTTTGGCATCCGTGGCTATTAAGATGAAATGGAGGTAAGCCCTGACCCAGTGGCTGGGACAATAGCCGGCGGATCTCCAGGTACCTTAGGATGCGAAGCCAGAACAGAGCTTCAAGACAGGTTGGTTGATGGAAGAAAACTAGCTGGAATTAGGGTGCCCGCCGCGTGCGCTTGGAACGGTCCAACAGGTAAGTAGAACCCACCAACTGGGCTGGAACACGATTCCAAGCGGACCATGGATTCTAGATCGCGCAGCGAGGAATCAGGGCCGCTTACGGGAGGCCCCCGGGGACCTCTCCGTCTGAGAGACAACCCCCGGCGGACCGCCGGACCCGCCGCATCGCCCGGAGTTAAACACGAAACGCACGGCCACCAGACCCATACACACGGACGACATGCGACCGCGGCGAACACGGCCAACAGCCGCCATTTTGGGACGGTGGAGACCACCTCAACCAGGGACGGGACACTCCAGTCGCCCCTCGGGAAAACACACATGGACATGCGAGCAGCCACATGATACCCGACCCAGAACTATGACCCAACTGACTCATACGAGACATGTTCAGACTACGCCATTGGGCGAAAGGGGCCCGACCTGAACATAGGCGGGACAACCTCAACGACCCCCGGCCCACCATCATTACATGCTACATGGACCACACGACATAGGTACCCTGAGCCTGGGCCGCCCGCTATGCTGGGCACAATGGCCAGTGCCCGCCATGGGAACGCCGAGGGACTCCCCAATTCCTGGAGGACAAACCTCCACGGCAACCCACGGACGCACGCCAGGACTTAACACCAGGTTTAACGGTACCACCCGGACTATAAGAGGACGCGACGCCGTTACGCGCCCCGATAGGTCAAAGACCCGCTCGGGGGACCATCCGACGCGACTTCGACCGCATAGCTAGAACCATAACCCGTTTGCTCCCCCGGCCGGCATGCCTACAAACACCCGGTCATACCTCCGGTCGTCGACTTCACACCGAGTAATAGCCTATCTCACTCTGATTCTGTGTTTTGACGATCATAAGGCACTAGCCGTCTCAGCATACTGCTAAACGAGCCGCACCTCTTTTATTGTCTAACACAAAATTGCCTTCCGGTCCCGGCACTACTTCCGGGACCACATTGCTGCTGTCTTGACACTTCATTCTGCACCCCGTCTTTAATCATCTGTGAATGTGGCTCTAACGTGAAACGGCTTTGCTATACCTCCGTGCTGTTTTGTTACTCCAACTCAATAACCACATTACTGCCACACATTGGTAAAGCTAACACTCTATTTCTGTTTCTCCTCTTTAACGTCATTGCTACACTACATTACTGCGTTAGCCAAGTTTAATGCTGTAAACTCTGCTCTCCTTCTGCTGCATGTCGCTGGTGAAACGCATTCTATGCTTTATTCCTGCTCACTCACTACTGCATACACTCACCCACACAAATATGGAAATCGATGGCGGAAACTCGCCACGACCGAGCAGGCACGACGGTGTCTCAGAAGGACACGGCATAGTGGATAACTTTCTGCGAGACCTCACAGAGAAGTTATTCCCAGGGGGCTACGACACGCTTGAGCACAGCTCACTCTCTGACTTACAAGATGCTACCTCCATATTAGCATCCGAAGCTACTACGACGAAACTCCAAGGTAAGACCCTAACCCAGTGGCTAGGACGACTGGCCATAATCTCCAGGATAACCTTGCGCGACTCCGAAGCCCAGAAAGCAAGGCTCCAAAACACAGTGAGTGACCTGGAACGACAACTGGCGGAAACTAGGAAATCCGCCGCGACCCGCTTACAACAAATCCCACAGGTAAGTAGGGACCACCAACAGGGACTGAGCATGACTCCAAGCGCGACCATGGATCTTGATTGCGCAGCGGAAATCAGGACCGCTATTTCGAACGGAACCAGCCGTGACAGTACCTCCGGCCCACACTCCCGTCGCTCCGACCGCGGCGAACCATCGTCCAACTGTGAACGCAGGAGCGTGGCCGAACTGGTAAGTATCATGACGGGAAAGGACCAAAATCAAGGTCATAGGAACAATACACAACCCAACATTGGACACGTCGACCACTGCGACCCCCACGACGCCCCTCCGGGAACACACATGGACATGCGACACAGACAACATGACTATCCGACCCATGACCCTGGCCCACCTGACGTCCATACGAGACATGTTTCAGACCGCAGCCATTGGGACGAAAGGGCCCGCCCTCAACATAGCGGACAAACCTACAACGACCCCCCTGGCCCACACCTGAACATGCTACATGGACCACACGACTTACGGTGCCCCAAGTCTGGGCCGTCCACATATGCTGCGACACAATGGCCAGTGACCCGCGATGGGAACGCCGGGGACCTCCCCAAACATGGAGGACAACCCCACGGCGACCCCCCTGACGCACGCCAGGACTTAACCCTAGGCCAACGGGACTACCCGGACTGGGGGGGGACGGCCCCCGACCTCGACAGGTCGGACTTAGCCTCCCTCCGACACGACAACCCCACACTAGAACGCCCCTTCGACGTCACAATCGACACGACGCTCGGAACCCCCGGCCGTGATGAAGAAATAATGCCGATACGCCATGGGCTGTTAGATTCTGCTTCCGATACACTCACTTCGTCGGTACTCGTGGTGCCTCGAAGCATGAGGGGGGTAATGTTGGCACACGCCCATGACGCACCTACCGCGAAACAAACAGGTATAAACAACACACGTCAGGCACTACAACAGGTAGAAACAACGGACCGAACGGCGACCGAAATACTAAGGTACGTATCCCCAAACCGGAGTGACGAGAACGTGAAACTCCCCCGGCGCCTGAGGACAAACCAATACAGGACCGACCCGCAGGACCACCCCCAGGTCAAAAACCAGGTATGGTATTACACCTTGGCACACTCCCCAGGACACGCGGGGACCGGCCCCACCAGACTACGCCGGAAATCGCTACCCCGCTGGTCAAGACCATACAGGGTGGGAAACAAACTCTCAACCGCAGTGCACCAAATCGAGGTCACAAAAGGTAGAGAGCCCACCCTCAGATGGGCCCGTTACAGCCAAACCAAACCACACAAACAAAGCCCCATGGGACAAGCAGGGCACACTTCAAACCCCAGTTAGGAACACACCACGTGACCTCAAACACGATTAGCCCAGCACTCACCAACACTCCTCTCGGCTGCACTAATCGACTTTCTCTTCCTCTGTCTCTGTCTAACCCCTAACAGTTGTTTCACGCCTTGCAGAACATGTGGCCCAGTTTCCTTCTCGTGCTGACCTGCATACTGTGCCTCGGCACCCCAGAAATTATTGAGACCGGACCAGCCTCCGGGATCGTTTTAAAGGAACAACCCGGGCTCCTCATCACGGATGTCCGACTCCACACACAGCGAATCTTTGTCAGACTCAATCCTAGTGAAGTCTGCCGCAAGAACCTGCCCTTGAAGGTCACACTCAAAGATTGGGCAGGTACACGCTGGACCCAGACGGTCGTGGAGCATGCTGAGGCAGACATACAACACATGCTGACGCAACTAGAGAAGTTCACGATCACTAGGACAGAGCTCAGTGACCCTCGCCCCAGACCCAAACGATTTATTGGGGCTCTCCTCGGCGCGGCGTCCGCCCTGGGCACCCTCTTTAGCTTAGGGATGTCCACGGTAAACGCCATCAGCCTATCCTCCCTCAGACGTCACCAACAGGAAATGGCCTCTGAGCTCGAGGATGTCAAAACCAGACTTGACCAACAACAGAACGACGTGGTGACCTTGGGAAAGTCCCTGAAAGGAACCATGCTAGTACTTAACACGCACGAGGTTGCGATTAAACGCACCTCCGCTGCGGTCAACCAACTCTTAGACGTTCTCCAACTAGACTACGCCCATACTCAGCTGACCACCCAACTGATGGAGGACATGCTACGCCACCTCAGTTCCTCGATCGAAAACCTAGCCATGGGCCGTATCCCGCCATACCTCGTGCCGCTATCGTTAGTTGAGAACATTCTAGCCGCAGCCACACGGGACGCCGTAACCCCCATGCAAGCCCACTTAGCGTACACGCTGGGCGCTGCAGTCCCCATCTATGTTAATCCTCTGGACCGCGAGGTAGCCTTTCTAGTCACCCTGCCGATAGTTCCCGGCGATAAAATCTACCGACTAAAAGGGATCACTAACCTAGGGACTTGGAGGGACAATGCCCACGTCAGAGTCCAGACCCCAGACATAGTAGCCTACCACGACAGTAACCCCGATTTATACCTAACGCCAAACCTAAGGATGTGTACCCTCACCAAGGACATCCATTACCTCTGCCCCAGCAAACCTTTCGTCAGGGACAGCACCGATGGCATCTGCGGCCTGAGGCCCATGACTCCAGGGAGTCGATGCCCCGCGACGGTCACCTCGCGGAAACAAATAACCGAAACTAGAGCAGAGATTGTAGGGGCACGCTGGCTAGTGAACACTCCCCTTAGAACGGCGACCCTGACCTATGACAAACATGACACCTCGTCCCGAGTAAGCCTCCCGGACGAAACCTTTTGGGTCGACGTCCCAGCCGACGCTATCCTGCACGTAGGCGACCTGGCATTATACCACCTGTATCCGAACCAGTACGAGGCAGAGGTCGAGATACCAGAGTTCTTTGAGGAAAGGGCCTTGGAACTTCAACCCTCCACCCTCGTCCAAGCCACCTACGAGGGGGCACAAACCGTTGACGTTACGGTCGTAGACAACCTCCTTCAAGAGATCGCCAAGCGACCGACCATCCACCACCAACCAGTAGCCTACTCCTGGGCCGCTCCCGATACAGTCATGGCCATCGCGGTAGGACTCGGGTACGGCCTGGTCGTAGCCATGGCCTTCGTCCTAAATAGACGGGTTAGACGACTCCGCGATAGCTTTAACAGATGCACGGAGGCAATGACGAGACAGATCCGTAGACGACCAAACCGGGGCGACAGCGCCGTCGAGCGTGGCAATTTGAGTCGGCGTCCCCAGGTCAATGAGTCAGAGTACGAGGACCTCCAAAGTCACCCACTCGAGACGGTCACCCGTTTCTATCACGGAAGGTGAACCAAGGGCCTAAAACCCCACTAAGAGTCACCAGCTCAGACCCAACCAACCTACCTCGATACCTAATCAGTCTCCTAGACAATCATACCTGTCATCCCCATTTATATACAGGAAATGTCCCTCGTAATTAAAGCCCCACTTGCTACGTCATATATTCGTGTAACCCTCACACTCCCCTTTTAGAACGAGCAAGATGGGAACCCCTCACCATCGAGTGCCTTAACGACGCTCCTACCCGCTGCCAAGGCAGCCACTTTTTTTGATTTTTGAAGTTTCCTATTTTGTATCCTAGTCCCCTAAAGTAGAAACTCCTGCTACTCTCTTGGCTTGGAACTTTGAGTCTTCCAGACCAAGAGACCCAGGAGTCAGGCGCACCGGCCCAAACCTTAGAGTTCACGGCCGGAGCTCACTCCCTAAAACCCCTGATCCCGGTTAGAACTAGCCTGCAGGGCCAGGACTCGCCTTAGAGAAAACCCGGCCTCGACAAACCAAGCCAGAGGCCCGAGACCCAACCGCCACGAGCCTGGCCCCAGTTAGGCGCTTGCGAATTGCTGAGTCACATTGAAGCGAGAATGTTGTCACATGTCACCACAAATCACGCACTAACACCCGAACAGGCGAGACGACCGACCGAGGACACCCGCCCGGCATATCCGACATGACATGCACCTTGTCGGGAGGTGCATCTCTGCCGTGGGGGGGGTATGTAAGGTTAAATAAGGGACAGGGCCGTAAAACAGAGCCAGGCCCTGTATTGTGTACACATTCGACCAAGAGGAGGAAGACGTCCCACTGCAGCTTCAAAGGAACAGCGAGGTCGGCCGGAGGACTATCATTGATCATGGGGATTACAGATGCCAAAAAGAGCAATAAAGTCACCACGGGGATAAGCACCTCTGTCTCTGCCTGCCTGTAGAGATCAAAGATCACAACCCTGCTCTCGCTCCCAGGACTCCTGCCACCGGACAATCAAAGACTCCCCCGCGGCGCTCTGACGCCCCCTTGTGAACAATGGACACTATCACACCCGGGACGGACAATTGCGAACCGGCACCCCTGGGTCCAGTACTCCAATAATCTGCATTGTGCCCCATATGTGTGTATCAATGTCAAAGTAATGAAATACGGTGTGTGTTTGTACACGTCTTATGATTATTTGCATCAATCCTGTGTGTTTCCTTTACAAACTGTCTGTTGTAAAGGGGTTTGTCCACAGAGGGCAGGGGCGGCATGGACACGCCCCCCTGGGAAGTCAATATAAACACGAACAATGCCATAGAACGTCCTCTTGTCCCATCCTGAAATCACTATTCCAGCTCTCCCTGGCCATCGGCGTCCCGCGGCACGTGTCTCCTACTACGGTCGCGCCAGCACGCATCGGGCCTTCTACTCCGCCAAACATACTCTCCTCTGGCTCGGGACCTTATGAACTGTTCCACCACCAGCCTCTTTCCTTGGCTCTGGACTATACGCGTGCAGCCCATTCCGGACTGAGCTGCATACGCGTGGACCAGCAGCTGGACCAAACTCGCTGGCTTTGTACCTCCCGCCTGCCAGACAAAGAAACCACGTGGGCTGATTCCCAACCCAAATCCTTTCTCCATCCTCTACGCTCCTCCAAAGTAAGACTGTTCTTGGTAAATGTGTGATTTGAATGAAATGTATGCCACTTCTGCTTTAATGTGACCAGAAATCCCCTTTCGTTATATTTTTACCCTCATTTTTGTAATCAATAAACTCCTTTTCTTTAACTCAACCCCATCAGAGTCGCGTTGTTAGATCTCGGTATATCCCTGGCCGATTTACGAATTAACTACCTTTTAGATTTATAAGACTGACTCGAGGCAAAAGTTGGTTTGGATCTGTCGTAGACCCTCAAAACGTCTACTGGTGCCCAAAATAAATAAGACAGATCCCCCACTCGAATAGGACGGCCAGACTCTGATTGTGAGGCTAGCCGCACTATTCTTCTCATAACATAATCTGTAGTATTATTACCCTACATATAAGTAGCTACCCTACAAGTACAAGGAGGTGATATCCAAGCTATACGAGCTAGGTCCGCTGAGCTACCCTGCCAAACTGTCTATAAAAACAACGGAGGGAATAAGGAAAAGCTTCTCTGACGTGACTGAAGCAGGAAACTTTGCACGCTAAATTCATTAGGAGTTCTACCAAGTTACTAAATTGCACACAATACATTTTCATTCTTTTAAAATTTAAATTACCATACATATATTTCTCGTCAGTTCTGTTTTTGTTTCAGTCTTGTTTTGTTTCGCTCTTTGCCTTTTTTTTCTCCTTTCTTTTTTTAAGCGCATTACCATTATTGTCAATTTAATAATGTTTGGTTTTCTTTCTCTTACATAAGAGGTTGATCACTCTAGTTTTCCTTTTTTTCAATATAGAGACCCTCGGAAGCTAGATCAGAAAGCCCTGGGCTACTTGTTTAACTGTGGTAGCTCAGTTTTGGTGCAGATATCCTTTTCCAACTGGATGATACTGAGCTTTTTACGGAGCTTTTTTATTTTTTCCTATTTTTATTTTTTATTTTTTTTACATTTTCAGCTTCGTGGATGTGTGGAAGAGTGGCTGTGTGTGCGTGATTTTTACCACCCCTCTTTTTTCTCTCTTTTTTTCATTTTTCGCTCTCTTATTTGCTCTCTCTCACCCTCTCATCCATGAAACAAATGTATCCTTGTTTGCCACCTTTTCAGATTATTTATTCAACTAACCGAATAGATGACACATAAATTACGAGGAGAAATGCTGAGGGTGATCTCATGGAACGTCCAAGGTTTGAATAAGGCTGTAAAAGTTGTGGCATCTTAAGGGCGACATATTTTTCCTACAAGAAACTCATTTGAAATCTGATGAAATATCCCAGTTAAGGAGGAGCTGGATGAGCCACATATTTCACTAAGAGTCTAATAGTAAATCAAGAGGGACTGCAATCATAATCCGTAAAAACATTAACTTTGAACCACAACATATTGTCTCTGACAAAAATGGTCGGTATGTAATAGCTACAGGTCTATTAAATACCAGCCCTGTTATTGTAGTTTGCAAACGGCTAACTCACTCTGTCACCGCCTGCCATTACTATCCTATTGTAATTTCAGACCATGCCCCTACTTCTATAAAATTATTCTTTCCTTCTAGCTGCCCTCCCCCCGAACCTGGCGATTTAGGGTAGAATGGCTGATGGACGATTGTATTAAAGAGTATCTAGCTTCACAAATCGAACTTTACATTGAAATTAATGACAACCTTGAAGTCACCTCTAGCACCCTTTGTCAGGTAATCTCTTATATTTCCTTCATTAAAAAAGAGAACGATTAGAACTCTCACTAATTAGCAATGAAATTGATAAATTAGACCAACAGTATTCTGTAACCCCAAACCCTGAGCTTCTAGAAAAACGTTTATTACTACAGTCAAAGCATAATCTTCTTATGACGGCCACCATAGAGAAACAACTAAAGCAAACTACACAACAATTCTTTGAACACGGAGAGAAAGCTGGGAAGTTGCTAGCACATAAAGGACGAGCAGAGTATACATCAACATTTATTACGCACATTTGTACAGAGGAGGGGGTTATTGTTACAGACCCTGCTATTATTAATCAAACTTACTTTGATTAAGTTTTAACCAAACTTAATCCCAGAAGCTGGGATTCTGGGACCCAGAGGTTAAGATACTTAACCTCTGGGAACACCTGCTGCCACAGTGGGGCGGCTGCGGCTGTAAAGTGCGAAACTGATGTTGTGTCCTTAGGCAAGACACTTTACCCCCATTGCCTAGAATGAGTCTGGTGTGTGTGTGAATGGTTGGTGGTGGTCAGAGGCACATACTGGTTGCCTCGCTTCTGTCAGGGCGCCCCCCCCCCTTTCTATTGCAGGACGTGTAAACTTGATCAAAATGACAGTGCTACAGAAGTTCCTATACTTTTTCCAACATTTACCGGTCTATATAAACAAATATTTTTTTCAAAGTCTAGATAAGTTAATAAACGGTTTCATATGGGGTGGCAAACCAGCACGTGTTAAAAGATCAGTACTACTTGCCTAAATCTTCCAGGGGTCTTGCGCTTCCTAATTTTCTGCATTATTATTGGGCTTCAAATATTCATCAAATCAAAAGCTATACACCTTCGGACCCTAGTCTACCATGGCTCCAAGCAGAGACAGGATCATCCACCTTCTCCTTACACTCAATATCCTGCTCAAATAATTAAACCTCGCGACATTGTTTTTCTTTTCACTTCTTTAGAAATAATGGGAGCAGGATGACCACTGTCCATAAATGTTAATAAATCAATGCTTTTGACAGCTGCAGCAGCTCTCAGACAAACAGGTTTTTTTGGCTTTTTATTTTACACATTTTACCCATCAAAAACAGGCGGGCTCACAGGCAGAGGAGCAGACTCTTCTCTGGATCAGCTCGTTTGAGTCGAGGTGACGTCACCTCTATACAAGAGATGGCTCTAATCTCACAAGCTTTGATTGTTGTGTGGTGTATCATACACATTAATATCACACATGTGTATAGGGTTGAGTGTGAAACATGAAGAAAAGCGTGATATAGGACCTTTAAGTGTAGTAGTGTGGACAGTTTATCCGCCCACCAGCTGGAGGTGCCAGACGCTACACTATAAAACCCCGAAAATGGGACTGTCACTCCCGGATTCGTCCCAGAAACCGGATTCCCTAACCCTAATCCTAAATTCATTTTGACCATACACAGCACTAGATCACCTCCAGATCCATGATCACGTCACGGAATCGGGGTGGAAGCGGAAGTAAGTATAACAAACTATCTATTCATGCCTAAACTTAACCAGCCTTGACCCTAACCTTAACCATCTTACTTAGACACCTAAACTCAACCAGTCACCACTTAAGGACTTATTAACTGAACTTCCGGACAAATCCAGTAGCCACAGGGACCACAGAGTGTGAGCCTACTGACCCATCCTACGGAACAGAAGGTGGCGGTAATGCGCTAAAAATTGGTCGGCAACTGCCAAAAAAAAAAAAAACCCAAAAAACCGTTTGTCTGTACTTCTGGGTGTGTGTGTGCGTTTGGGTGTCGATACCATGGATCTATTATAGCAGGTAGTGACGCTGATGGCTGTGGAGGCGCGTTCAACGCACAGCTGGGTGGCGCTTCACCGGACGTGTGCGGTCCCCGGTGGTCCTTTGAAGCTGGGAGTCATTCCCTCCCCGGTGAGAACTCTGTAAGAGCGCGGGACCTACAGTACCTGAAGTGGAACGGCCTGAGTGAACCCGACGCTCAGCACAGCACAACCACCGCTGTCTTGTATTGCTGTCTTTTGACACTGTTTTCCTGCCTTCATTCAAGAATATTACATTTGTCGGGTCATGTATTGTAACTGATTGATTTCAGTAATGAGCGCAAACTCAAGGCTAAGTACAATATAAGCTAAACTTGATAAATAAATTGTGCTTAAATGGAACCTTTTGTCCTCACTCAATCCCCTTATCTGTTTCCTTATAGTTTTATTAATTTAAAGTTAAACATACTAAGAACCCTCAGTTTGTCACATAAGGATTGGCCTTCATTCATGGGGGAAACTCCAGCTTGCCTTAGCAACCATATTAGCAACATAGTTTGTGTTCCAATCGGCTTGTTCCGCATCAAGGCTAACCCTATGGTGATGGCAAAAGTATTATTACTATAACTGTATGTTAATAACACTGTAGTTTCCCCCATCTGCCACTTGAGAGAAATGTTTAACTTTAGATGATTACTCATTTCACCACTCCATTACATATGTCCATCCATATTTTATTTCAAATTCCAAAACATAAAAATACATTTTGAAGATCCTGCTTAACATAAATAATGCATCACATTTGTTCTTTAATCGTCTTAGGTCTCTCTCGTCTCTCGCTATGGTCTCTCTCTCTGGTCGCTCTGGTCTGTCTCTCTGGTCTGTCTCGCTGATCTCTCTCTGGTCTCTCTCTCTGTTCTGTCTTGTTGGTCTGTCTCTCTGGTCTCTCTCTCTGGACTGTCTCTCTGCTTTCTCTCTGGTCTCTCTCTTTAGTCTCTCTAGCTGGTCTCTCTCTCGGGTTTCTCTCTCTCTGGTCTCTTTCTGGTCTCTCTGATTATAGGATGTTAGGGTTTAGGATGCTTGTTTGAGACACTTTTTCAGAGCGACCACACAGCGGCGCTCTGTCTCCAGCTCTGACCGCAGCTCTGCCACAGTCACCCTGAGCTCAGCGTTCTCCTTCTGCAGACTGAAACAACACACATAGTACACTCAGGCATACTGTAAATCAAACACAAAAGCAAAATGTGGTATTACAAAAACAGTGCACACAAATCCAACAGTGAGAGTTTCGCGGTGGTCAGGAGCCAGGAGGGCAAAGGTCAGGGCACACCAGTCGCCTACTACTGCTCATTAAGAATTCAACTTGAATCTGGTCTCTCTGGTCCAAACCAGCTGCTATGTATCAAGAGAATCATCTGAATACTTTTATGTCAGAACATCACCTGTAATCTCAGGTAGAAGCATTGGCCCTGGTCTCTCTCTCTCTCTCTCTCTGGACTCTCTCTTGTCTCTCTCTCTCTCTGGCGTCTCCCTCTAGTTTCTCTCTGGTCTCTCTCTATGGTGACTTCAACACTTGGTAAGTATCCCCCTAATATACTGTACGCTCTATGGTCTATACTAGGGGTTTAAACTCGGTCCTCAAAGAGTCCACCCATTTCCTAGTGACTCAAGTCTGAACCTAAATGCATGGGTAAAAAACACAAATATTTCTTTCTAAATTTTTCCTACAAATGGACTCACCAGTCTATGAGCTCCGCCGGACTTCTCTTATCCTCACCATTGTTGGCTCCTTGGATTGTGTCAGCGTGTCTTCCATTACTTTTGGAATGTGTCGGGCTTTGAACAGGCGGCTGAACACAGTTGTTTGGTTCTTTCCCAGCTTCTATAAGAGTTATCCCATCTTGCTCCCCACATGTCCCAGGTCTTCTCTTCACCTCCTCCTCAATATCACGTATAGTATTCGTCTGAAATAACAAGCCTGATGTTTTGAGGTCTAAGATTTTAAAAATGTCTTCAGAGAAAGTGACGTTCCTGTCCTCCAAGCTCTCTTGGATGCGGCTCCAGCGGTTCAGGGCCCCGGCTTTGGCTGCCATCCCCGTCAGAGGGCAGCTGAAGACGGGTAAGGTCTGGGTGCGCTTGCGGGGGACTTCCATGGCCTCGTGGTCCAGGGGGGAAACTGGAGCAGGAGTGTTGAGTCTGAGAGGCCCGGGGCTGTCCTGGTCCTCCTCCTCCTCGGGGGACTCGGATAGAGAGGTGTTGCAGTGCTGGGAAAAAGAAAGATAAGTATTAGCACGATATACACCAAGCGTCTTCAGTCTGTAGACATGGAAGTGTCCAAAATGTATATCTTTTCATTGTCATAAGCCGATTTATGTGTTGGGCGACAGTAGCTTAGTTGGTAGAGCCTTTGGGCCGGAAGGTTGTGGGTTCAAGCCCATCACGGGACCTACTCCAACTGCTCCTAATGTCTCCTGTCGTTGTGTCCTTGGCTCCCGCTAAAACACCAAGGCTGTGGCACCACTGATGTAGCAGCTTCCTGTGGACCCACCACCTGCAGAGGATCAGCGAGGGACCGGTGCTTTGAGAAATGGGTGGCAGCTCTCATTGCCACCCCCGACCCAATAAACAGGTTGAAAATGGATTAATGAAAGCCAATTTAGTGGAGAGATGTGCACGCAGGACGAGTTACCCGCCCGTATGGAGAGGACGGAGTTCAATTTTCTGGCTTATCACTGCAGGAAAGACAGAGAAACAAGTACAGTGTGGAAGTTGTTGTGGGAAGTAAATGTAGACACTTTTATCGTCAACTCACTCACACTTGTCTGCAGTCTGTTACATTACATTAATTCATAAGCTCCAGATGTAAGGATGTACGGGTTTAAAATGTTATTTCAAGCAATGTTTAATTTTTTGTCATAAGGCAGCTTGAGCAGAAATTCAGACTGGAAGACTACCCATGCATGTCATCGCACCAGGCTGGCTCCTTCCTTCCTCAGCCTATCAAATCAGCTTTGTCAACTCCCTAGCCAGCCTTGCCAGTCAAAGGCTTTCAGCCTTTCAAGCCACAACTACCTCCTGCCTGCCTTCGCCTCAGGATTTTATCGCACGCTCACATCCACTTTGCCTTGTTGCCACCAGTGCTTAGTCCCAGGGGGATCATAATCTGCACTCAAGCATCGATTCTCACAGAGCAAGGCCACACCCGGGCCTATATGCCGAACTAATACACTAAAAACAAACTTAAAAAACCCCATTGTGGACAATGTGGATAATTGTAGATTTCCACACTCCAATGTAGGTCAACCCAAAGTTGTTCTAAACTGAATATACTTACTGAATGATAACCCAACAATTCCACTATCAAATAAACTTTCAACGCATCTTGTCCTTTGTAGTCTCTCCAGATTGAATTATGTATACAGATGGGTGAAGGGTGCAGCACCTCTGTGGACTCCCAGCCCACAAAGCTCCGGGGAGAGTTCTTGTGGCTTTCACTCTTGTCGGGAGGAGGAGAGGGAAGCTGGTCTTTGGAGGAGGGGAACAGGACCTCATGGTGTCCAATCAACATCGTCATTAACTTCTGGATCTGAGGAGTCGCTGGAACACAACACATTTCACTAAATTACACTTTTTTTACCCTAAACACGACCTGCCCAGGAACTATGGAACTAAGCTTTATGTTATCATGTTGTATCCTTTTTGTCTCTATATAAATGACAACATAAGCTGCACAAAGAGCTGCAGAGAAAAATTAGGTGCTATGAGTGAAAAATCAACGGCAAACTGCACTTGGGCTCTGAAAGAGAAAAGCTCTATGAAACGCTTGCATGGGAACATGAGGGATGATCTTCACTGCTTAAAAATTTAAACTTCAAAGTTATTTAATGTCAAATGTGTCAGTGTGTTTCATTTTGTAAAACGGGTCACTGGTCATGTTAACGTTGAATGAGTGAAAATAATGTCCCATGTAATATTTGTGATGCTACTTTCTGCAAAGACGACTGTGAGCTTTGATCTGCCTGTTCTGAAAGTTCCTTATGAATCCAGCCCCAAATCGAGCTCGTCAAATAATTAATGACTCCTCCTGCCCCTGGAAAAGCCATGTTCCAGTTTCTTCCCCCTGGCAGAAGATAATGTTGGCTTAGAAGCAGGACATATGCAAACAGCTTCCCCTTCCACGAGCTGTTGGGGGTAGGTCCCGTCTCCAAAAGGTCCATGAGAATGTGACATACTTGCAATCTCACTCTGTACCGGTGGGAGTGCAAGTTTTTCCAAATGTTCTTGCCCCACAGCTACTTTGAAAAAGCCCACAATATTAATATTTACAGTCCGTGGCCTGAACAAAGCACTTTAATGATCTTGTACTGAAACTGTTTTTGTTGATAGGTTTTACAGTGACAATTGCTTCTTGTATATTCTTAGCTTGTTTTATTTATGTCCTTGTCTGGTGCACACTGGGACGTTTGTGCATGCATTCCAATGTGGCTTATCAACAAATGGGAAATCTACTAAATCTGAAGCTGAATCTGATAGGCCATGGGGATATTCAGGATGGGGCAAATGCAGAGGACACGTTTCCATATGGGGATAAATGGAGGGTACCTTGACCTGCACCTTCACCTTGATGACCGTAAGAACAATCTCACAGAAGTGGTTTAATGAGTTTCCTCCTTCCTTAGACATAGGAGCTAACTCACATACTGAGGAGCTCGGAATAAAGGTGTCTCAATTGTCACATGAGTATTTGTAACCCAGATGTAACCCTCTCATGACTGTGATGGGGTCTTCTCCCACCTCTCATGACAGTGATGAGGTCTTCTCTCTGTGTACTCTCATGACTGTGATGGGGTCATCTCTCACCTACAGTATCATGACTGATGGGGTCTTCTCTTACCTATCATGACTGTGTTGGGGTCTTTTCTCACCTCTCATGACTGTGATGGGGTCTTCTATCTGTGGCTTCAGGAGGTTGATGCCCATCACTGTAGCCAGGTTTTCCACATTCATCTTGTTCACTTTTGAGTGAAGCTGGACCTCAAACAGGAATCTACACACACACGCACACGCACACACGGTTTGTCTCTGGTGTTTGGAGTGCTGCCATTGATGTGCGATTGTGTGTTTGTATGAGGTTTTAATATTCTACACACGTTTGCAAAGCTGTTACCGTGACAATGGATGGTGTTGTGTTCTTGCTGTGCTCCTCACCTGCAGATGTAACTGAGGAGCGAGTAGTTAACACGAGGGAGAAGGGAGATCTGTCTGTCCAACTTCTCCCAACCCTGGGAACACACACACACACACACGCACACAGGCACACAAACTTTATGTTTTAGTTTGTGAACTCAATTAAGTAAAAAAATAAATGGATACACATGTATTATAATGAAGATGTGACTGTATGCAGTGAAACACATCCATCTACCTCCTCATACAGTCACAGGTACATGTGTCTCCTCTATAACAGTCACAGGTACATGTGTGTGTCCTTTATAATAGTCACATAACATGTGTGTGTCCTCTATAACAGTCACATGTACATGTGTGTCCTCTATAACAGTCACAGGTACATGTGTGTCATCTATAACAGTCACATGTAGATTTGTGTCCTCTATTTCAATCACATGTACATGCGTGTCATCTATAACAGTCACAGGCACGTGTGTGTCCTCTATAATAGTCACATGTACATATGGGCGACAGTGGCTCAGTTGGTAGAGCATTGGCCTTTGAGCCTGAAGGTCGTGCGTTGGAGCCCACCACAAGACTTTTTCCACCAACTCCCACTGATGTCTGCTGTCGTTGTGTCCTTGGCAAGACACTTAACCTCTGGTAACACCAGGGGCCACGGTGGGGTGGCTGCAGCTATAAAGTGCCACATGACACAAATGTGTGTCCTCTATAACAGTCACATGACACTGTGTGTGTTTAGCTCACCGGCTGACCAGGGCAGTCCAGGGTCTGAGTGCAGTCCAGGAAGTTCTGGTACTGGCTCCAGGGAATCACCGGCTCTGGAAGCTCCCGCAGGTACAGTTTAAGCAGAGACGCCACCGTGTGGACATCAGTGTCACTGCACAAACAATACACAACACAAAACCCACACACAGACAACATAACGCAATACACACAGCACCAACACACAACATACACCCAGACAACACAACACACACACCAAAGTAAGTAAGTAATTCTTATCAATATATAGTGTACACACATACAGAGCTGTATTAGCCCCGACACGACTCTAAGATCTAACCCCTGAAGAAGAGGTTCTGAAATGTCAGATTTTCATGTTTGAATTCTAGCTCAGAATGAAATCTTCCACATATGTTTTTGATCAAATAAAACAATGATTTGTTATTCACAAAGTACTGTGGCGTTTGGGACGAGTGTAGAGATGAGTGTTTACAGTGAGAGCAAAGAGCAGAGCTGTGAGCCTTTGTATGCAAGAAGGTGCGTGTGTGTGTGTGTTTGCGTGTGTGTGTACATAAAAGCTCATATTTCTGTTGTCTCTGTCTGTGGAGTTGTGTAACCAGGGCTGATCCACAGCAGGATGTGGTGAAGCTGCTGTCTCTTATCTGCATCATCTGTGTGCGAAGGAGAGAGCTAACACTCACTTCTTTGTCATTTTGGCAGCGTTAGCGCAGGGCCTTTCTGAGCAGAGTTTGCATGTTCTCTTTGCGTCTGCCTGGGTTTAGCCTACCACTAGAAACATGTACAATCAGTTGGTGGCTGAAGGATAGGGTACAGGAGGCCTTTGTCACTGTGTGGCGTACTAGAATATACAGCTTTTTTATACTTGCTAAAGTTGGAGATTTTATAATGCTTATTTTTATGCAAGAGTTAGAGATGTTGTTTGTTTTATTTTAGTTTAGTTTAGAGTTATCATTCATTTATCTTGTGCTGCGTGCTCTGTTCTTTTGTGATGCAACACTGAAATCTCCCAACTGTAGGACAAATAAAGGATCTCTCAATAAACATGATCTCTGGACCTGGAGTAGTATATAAAAAAAAATATTTGTATATATATATTACTCCAGGATGCCTGTGCTCGTTGGCTTATTGCTTGCACTATGGACGTCCCAAAAATTAGCAGAATTGACGTGTTCTGGCCAGCTCTGGTTATCCTGGTCGTGTGCAGTATGGTTGTGCAGTGGTTACTTCCGGACCAGAGTAACAAAAGAGCGAAATGAAAGCTGAATGAAAGCTGCGCGCTCACTCACATTGCTCTCATGCACAGAGAGACATACAAGTGTTCTGACCAATCAGAGTGCAGCAGAGAGACCAGAGACAATAGAGGGAGAGACCATAGAAAGAAAAAAGAGTGACCAGAGAGAGAGACCAGAGAGAGATCAGAAAGAGACCTGAGAGAGAGACCAGAGAGAGACCAGGGTGGAACATGTGAGCGTTCTGACCATTCAGAGCTGATCAGGGTGGAGCTAGAGTGGGACAAGTGCGTGTATTGTAGAACACAGATGGATTTCAAAAGGAAATAAAAAGATGACATGGAGCCCTCTTTTGTGAAATCTGTAGGTTCCCTGTCAGCTGAGGACCAGCTGTTTTAATGAACACTAAGGTCTATGTGGAAATCTCCTTATGGCCCATGCGGATTTAGGCTGCAGTAGCGTGGGTGGCCTCTAGTCTATGTAGAAACAACACCCTCCATATACTATCATACAGTCATGAGTAGAACATATGTGCGTGTGTGTGTGTGTTTGGTGTGTTTAGTGTGTACCTGGGGAAGGAGGGTCTCTCTCCGGCGTCGAAAGCATCCCGGAACATCCTGACAGCGTTGTCCTGTCCCGGGAGCCTGAAGATGCCCTCCTCTCTCAGGCCCCGCTCCTGGATGAACTCTGCACACTTCTTCACCAGCACCGGCACCAGGTGGGGGCCTGACTGCTGGTCTGAGGCCAGCAGATCCCCCAGGCTGCGGCCAAATACTGGGCACAAGAACACAAATAACACATTGTAATCAAGGCGTACCGTCTGCAAACTATAACAAGGGATGTGGCTGTAATTGCCAGGCAAGGTAGGTTTATTTGTATTAGCACAGTTCATACAACTTTGTATGTTATTTGTTGTATTGTTTGGTATTTTAAAGGAGGGTAGTCCCTGTGCTCCTAAAGGTCCCAGAAGGAGGACAGTCCCTGTGCTCATCAGAGTCCCAGCAGGAGGCCAGTCCCTATGCTCCTCAGAAAAATGCAGGAGTCTGATTTCGCTCATTGTAACCCTCTATATAAATATATACGTGTCCGTTTCTCCTTTTATTTCTCGATAAAAAGAAAAACTCAATTTCCCATGAGCCTTTGTGGTTGGTAATCCCGGAAGTGCTATCGCACCATACTGCTTATGGTCAGCACTAGATCATATACGGAATCGGGACGGAAGTGAAAGTAAATATAACAAACTACCTATTCATGCCTAAACTTAACCAGACATTCCCATAAAATAACCCCAACGCAGCCTTAACCCTAACCTTAACCATCTTAATCAGACACCTAAAACTTAACCAGTCACCATTTAAGGACTTTTTAGTCTAAAACTACTTTCAAAAAAGGATTGTTACTTCCGGTTTCGTTCCGATACCGTATATGATCTAGTGCCGACCTACTGCTTATTGCTGGGTTGCACCCATGGATCTATTATAATAACTGGATAGGGTATTACTACGTAGCTTGGTAGCACCCACCTCCACTTGAGGGTGCTCCGATGGCCCTGCGCAGCATGCGGAGCCACTCGTCCATGTCGCTCTGGGAGTTTGCCATCAGCACAAGGGAACATCTCTCCCTGTCGCCTTTGGAGCCTGGAGAAGGGTTGAAAAGACCAATTCAGGGGCAATAAAATGTGGAAAATATTTGATTCTCAGGGACAGACATGAGCTAGTTTATGTTCTGTTTCAGACATCAGAATGGAGCTCCTTCATCAAATATTATCTGACAAGTTGTATTATAATCTGTAATTTAATTGAAAACTTTAGCTCGTTCTCCTCTGCTGGTAAACAAGGTAGCATGTTAGCATAAAGTGGCTATAACTCCTCTTGCTGTAACTGCATACACGGCAAAACAGCCCAAACGACACAAAAGTGAGGAAGAGAAGAAGGAACTAAAGCCAAAAAATGATCAAAGAAGAAATTAAGCCTGGGTGAACATAGCTAGCATACATCGTATCCTCTGGAAAGATTACGGTCTATGGGAGAGACCTACGGGTGCGGACCGCCTCGGACTACATTCGGACGCGAAACTAGCGATAATCTTTCAGTCATATATTTTGTTGCAGTGCGTTGCTTTTGAATCATTTCATCAGTGATTGTTGTACAGCTTACAAGAAGTTGCGCTCATGCTAATGTTTGCATACGTATCAGATCGCAAATAAAACTAGATGGCTCCGTGACATGAGAAGGTAGGGGAAATGAGAAGCGTATAATTTCAGTAAAAAATTGCCGGAAACCATCACATCTGTTTCATTTTACATTTTTCAAGGGTCATTTAAATTTGAATTAATTCTTTTTTTAATGATTACTTTTTAAATCAAGTGATTTATTGATGATATGTTAGCCATGTTAATCTTGTCGGAGTTCATCATTTTCTATGTAACTGGCATCACAGTAGAATGATCATATCAGAGGCTGATTAGGTTGTTTGAAATCAAGTCAAAAAAGGAATATGTCAGTCTTTCCTTTTGATTTTATCCACAATATATCTTTGATATGTCTGAGTTTAAAATCTTTTTTCCAATCTATGATAGTAAATTCAGTTTTTGAGTTGTAACCTTTTAAGTCCAGATACTTTAATTGGCACTTTACTGTGAACACACCCATTAGGAGGATTTCCCTAAATTTTAGGAAGGAACCGCTCCCTCTACTTTTCGAAAAAAAAAAAAAAACTGCACTGGATCGGTCCACGTTTGGCGGCTGCTGCATGGCCTTGGTCCTCGTTCTGTAGCTTAGGTCCTGTATCTATTGCCCGTCAGTCCGTGTGGATCTTTCTCTCAATGTGGATCTCCCCGAGGTTTCTCACTTTTCTCCCACTGGGTTCCAGAGTTTTTCCTTGCCAATGCAGGAGGGTCTGTTGGAAAGTTAGTGTCTAACAAGGACGACTGTGGTGATGATTACTTTAACATTCTACAACATGTATGGACATTGGTCTCTTGGAACTGACATGTATGTGTACTGTTTTTCTCTGTATGTTTTTTTAAGTTTGTTGTTTTTTTTGTGGAGCGCTTGTGATCCTGGTTGCACTTTATAAATAAACCTTACTTACCTACTTACTTAAACATAACAATATTCCACCACATGTTGAACATCAGAGGCTTTACACATTTAAAACAGGGGAAAAACGTTGGTTAATTTCTATAATCAAATCACGCCGAAGCTATCTTCAAAATAGATGGTGTTGTGTTTGTTGTTCATAAGAAAATCAGTAATTTCCCCCTTTCCCTCTGCCACCAGATGGAGGTGTTGCTCATTCCTTTAGTCTCTCACTCCTTATTCCCTGATTATCTATATTTTGTTCCTACAAAAAAATGTCTTTTGCCTAAATATTTTGCAAATTTTCTTGTGTGTATTTGTGTATGTTTTTTCTCATGCACCATGTGTATACTCCAACTGGTCTCTTTCTGGTTTCTCTCTGTTCTGTCTCTTTCAGGTCCTTCTCTGGTCTCTCACTGGTCTCTCTCTGGTCTCTATATTCTCTCTTTCTCTCTGGTCGCTCTCTGATCTCCCTATATTCTATCTCTTTATTTTGTCTCTCTCTGGTATCTCTTTGTTCAGTCTCTTTCTGGTCTCTCTCTGATCTCCCTATATTCTGCCTCTCTATTCTGTCTCTCTCTGGTGTCTCCCTGGTCTTCTTCTATTCTGTCTCTTTCTGGTCTCTCTGGTTCCACTCAACTCTTCTCTGCTCTATGTTTTTAAAGGTCCGAATTAGGTAAAGTAGAGTCTTGTACAGCAGGGGACTGCAGACCCCTGTGAGACCTACGTGGGATGATCTGGAACAGGAACCTGGAGAAGTCATCTGTGTTTGGAGGCAGCTCCTGGACTTTACTGAAGCGCAGCTGCACCACTCCCTGAGGCACAACACACATCATCATTAGAACTAGAATCAAATCATCACAGGTGTGTTTAGATAGATAGATAGATAGAAACTTTATTTATCCCGTAGAAGAAATTCAGGTGTCCAGTAGCAGCAAAAACACATCCATCCACACAAACAAAACAAATAATTTGATCATTCTAAAAAGCTAACATTAGCAATAATAATAACAAGAAACAGCTGCAAAGGTGGGCCATATGCTGGAGGTAGAATAGGACAGGTCACAGCAGCAGAGACGGTGCAGCAGCAGATATTGTCTAGCGTTTGGGTGGAGCAGAACGGGTCAAAGCAGCAGAGGTTGAGCCGCTTAGTTCGGATCATTTTCTCTGCTCCGGTCTAACGCAATATGCTAAACGCGAAAAAACGCTAAAAATGAAAAAAGCATGAAAAATTACAATTGTAAAGCACAAAAACAACAACTGTTTCAGAGCTACTAAGGACTTGCTGCCGTTTCCAGCGCATTCAAAAGTAAATGTAAAAGTTTAATGTTTGATTCCATTTATTTATGTATTTCCCTAAATCACCTCGTTTCAGGTTACTTAACAGTTATCGACTCGCCTACAACCAATCAGAGAATCAAAACGTTTGAACACAGGACATTCACTAATAGCAAACACTTAGGAGCCGTTGGTCGATAGGGAGCGAGATGGCCACTGTCCAGCAATGTTAATAAATGTGCTTAGACCCTCCTGCATCAACCAAGAACCACTCAAAATGAGAAATCTCGCTGGGAGGACCACATTGAGAGAGGAATCCGCTCCCACAAATGGAGCTCAGGCTGTAGATCCAGGACTGAGCCTATAGATCCAGCACTGAGGCTGAATATAGTTGATATGTTCAACCGTGGGGCACAGCTTTTTCTTACTGGGCTAGATTAAAAAAGTAGTAATAGAGAATTTGAATTTTGAATTAAAATAATATTTGTAGTGCAAAGCATACGTGTGCCCAACCCACCTAGGCTTAGTAGTAGATTCAGCAGTACAATCAGCAGCAGTAGTAGTAGTAGAAGTAGTAGTAGTAATAGTAGTAGTCGAAGAACACAGAATACAAATTAGAAACAAAAGTGGCACTGTACAAGTCTTTGGTGCTAAGCGTCCTGCTGTACGGATCAGAGACATGGGTCATCAAGAAGGACAGTAAGCTGAGGCTGGAGGCCTTTCAAAACCGAATACTGAGAAGTGTTTTATCTTCTACCGTTATTTCAGGTAACGCAAGAAAGAGATGGACTTCAGGAACGACACGATTTATTGCCTCGTGGTACAGCAGCTCTCTCCTAGGTGTCATACACATTAATGCAATCCGCAACAGTGACGCAACACACCACTAAAATATATAACAAAAAGGATAACTGGTATTCACACAAAATGCAAATGTTCTAAAATCCTGAGTCATATTGCAAAAAGAAGAATGAAAATCAGGCAAAGAATAAGGTCAATGGAAGACTCAAAAAACATTCTTGTCTGGAAACCAAAAGGAAAAAAACAAGAAGGCGGACAAAGGAAACAATGGATAAAATTGGATCACATTTCTTGAAGCACATCCCGAAGCCCATCCAAACGAGCTTAGTGAGGTTTTTTAGCAGGTGAGGCCACTTTTAAAGAGGCCAAGTCCTGCAGTACCCGGGCCCTCTCCCCTGGGTCGCTCTCTTCCTTCTGGGTCACATCCCTTGGAGCTTGCACCTGAAGTACATTTGCTCAGGGAAAGTGAGGCTGGATTTTCTGGCAATGAGACCAGGCCAGAGGCAACCGTGACGCATAGCTTTTTTTCTCACTTGATAATTCCGGGTAGTAGAACATGTAGCAGTAGCAGACGACTGTGGAAGAAAGGAGGAAACTGCTGCACACACAGGAAGTTGAACACATCAAAAAAATGAAGTCCAAAAACAGGAACACAGTCAGACACAGACACAAGTCTATAGTCAGACCTGTGTCAGCCAACAACGTAATACAATATACAACACAGAACTAATGAAGTCAAAGAGCAGTGCACAACCTCAGACCGGCAAGTGTAATATCTGAATCATTAACCGTATTTTTTTTCTACTTATAAAATGTGGCGGGTCATTTTGAATTGAGGTCAACAGAAGGGTTTTTTATATGCAAGAATCCGACAACAGATCTCTCCTTAGAATCAGTCTGTGAGCAAAACTTTTGTCTTGATTACCACTTTGAATTGCCACTTAGTGTGTGCATAATATATCCTGCATTTAACATGTTCGCACATTTCTATCTTTTGCACAATCTTAAGTGATTCTGCCAGATGTGACATGTACATTTCTCCTGTGTGAGATCAATAAAGTCTATTTTATCTAATCTTATCTAAGTGGTTGCACGCACACCAGTCGACAAAGTCCGTGATAACCGGCCGATATTCCAGTTTGTTCCCCTCAGAAACACAGCCCTCGATAGCGGAGTCGTCTGAGAACTTTTGCAGGTGGCAGCTGTGTGTGTCGTATGTGAAGTCTGAAGTGAAGATGGTGACAAGAAACAGTGAGAGGACAGTGCCCTGAGGGGCCCCAGTACTGCAGACTACCACCTCAGACTCACAGCTGCGCAGCCACACGTACTGTGGTCGGTCCGAGAGGTAGTTGATGGTCCATGCAGTGAGGTTGCCAGTCTGATGGTGTTGAAAGCGCTGGAGAAGTCAAAAAACATGACCCTCACAGCGCTCCCGGCGGGCTCCAGGTGGGAGAGCGTCCGCTGCAGTAAGTAGATGACAGCGTCCTCTACTCCGATGTTGGGCCTATAGGCAAACTGCAGCGGGTCCAGTGCCGGAGAGCGGTGATGGGTGAGGATGAGCCGCTCAATGGTCTTCATCAGGTGGGAGGTCAGTGCGATTGGTCTATAGAGAGCCAGTTCCTTTGCGTGCGCTATTTTAGGAACCAGAATCACACAGGAGGTCTTCCACAGGACAGGGACCTTCTCCAGGCTGAGGCTCAGGTTGTACAGTAGATGTAGCTGAGGACCTCAGAGAGCTGGTCTGCACAGGTCCTCAGCAGCCTGGGACTGATACCGTCCGGTCCTGCGGATTTCCTCTGCTTCAGTTGCTTGAGCTGACTCCTCACCTGGTCCGGTGTAACGCCGAGATACACTGCCTTGAAGAGATGCACTGCCTCAGCTGTTTATGATGTAATGCAAACCTGCGCATGCGTATGTCACGGCAGCCGAAGCATACCAAGATGGCGGACCGTGAATTGCTTTAAAAGTTAAAATACAAACGAATTAAGACACAAATGTCAAAGTTTCGTTTAGTCTAATGGTGCTTTCAGACCCGATCCTGCGTTGCGTCGGGTTTCAATGCAAAGCCTATGGTGACGCGCATTCGACTGGCGCAACGCACGGACCTCTCGGCACGCACAAACGGACTGTTCAGTAGACACGCACGGACTTGGCCGGCAAGTGAAAAGGGAGGAGCAGGAGCGAAAAATCAACGCCCACAGGAGATGGATTCTGCTCATCCTTTCCTTGGGACGTTGGTGCGACAACCAATGAGAGAGCCACAAAGTGGTCACGGGGACATTAGCGGACTGAGCGAGCAGACTGAAACTACTCATAGCAAAACAGGAGCCACACCAGGCTTCACCAGAACTCAAACCAGGGTTGACAATGGGGGACTCTGTGCTTGCGTTGTCATGCTCCCGTGACCGTATGCAACTGCTTCGAGTGTGTTCGCCGATGCGGAAATGGCATACCTCCGTGACCACCTACTACTGTTATATAAAGCCCGTGGAAAGTCTCTGTTCAAAGACACGCTGCAAAGCTGCATATTGGAGAAGATCTGTACACAAGAAGCCGCTAGCATAGCTCTGTTAGCATTAGAGCCAGCCGGCTACTTCCGGTACTTCCGGCTCGCGTCAGGACATTCCGGTGTGAAGTCCTCTGCGTCTGAAAACTAGAGAATGCGCATCTGGTGAGCGGGGCTTCAGCATTTCAGCGTTGCCGGTCTGAAAGCACCATAATCAATCAACTGCGCCTGTGAAACCAAAAAGCTAATGTTTTGATAGCAGCCTCCGCGGCTGCTGACGTAGGCTGATGACGCGTCCTGTGGCAACTCTACAGCTTTCAACTGGTCTGTCGGATTGATAATGGAAAATGGGGAAAAAAATCGATATAATTAAATATTTTGTTTGAACACACATCATATTGAATACAGTACAATACATGCGTTAAATTAAATTTATTATTTCCATTATCAACCCGACAGACCAGTTGAAAGCTGCAGAGTTGCCACAGGACTACGTCACATCAGCCTATTAGTATTAGATAGCAATATGGCCTACGTGCAGGACTGTACAAGGACTCTACAAGGACTCCATGTTATGACTATGATTTGACTGTCTCTTTGTGACACGTATGTCTTTCGATGTGTGACGTGACAATGACTATATAAACTGTGTACTGCCTTTATTCTGTCTGAGAGAAAGAAACAGAGTAAACCAGTGGAACTTGAGAGAAACTTAAATAAACTTCCAGAGTTTGGCACACCACGATCCGTCTCTGTCTGTTGAATCCTAACAGATTTGGTGGAGAATGCGCGGCTCGGTGTGTGCCATTCTCTGGATTGTTTTGAGGGAATTTCCTCTGTTTCTTTTTTTCGGCGTGTGGGAGCAACAGCACGTTATCTGGAAGGGGAGAAATCCCAGTGGACGCTGAAAGGGCTCGCTTTTGGATGGGCTTGCTCTTGCTCCCTCACTTTCTCTGTTTTGTGTTTAAATTGAATTTTCCGACGCGGAAAAGAGGTTGGCAGACCTCTCGGACAGTCCTTGGAACCGGTTTGACAAGAATAAGGTAAGCAGACACCTTTTTATATGTAAAGTCTGCATAATTGGATATTAGCTAAATTTTGGTCTGTTTTTGGGGTCTGTCAAACTCTCTAAATTGTATTTGAGAAGAAGTCTCAGGGTTAGAGTCCCTTTGAGAAGAAGCTTCAGGGTTCGAGTCCCTTTGAGAAAACGTTTTCGGGGTTAGAGTCCCT